CTTCTTGATTACCGGGCTTTACAGCTAAGGTCACTTTACACAATAAAAGAAGTGAGAAAGAGGGACGAACGAGAGAAGCATTGTCCCACCCAACCTCCGCGCACTCTTTCTCACTTTCTACTTTACAGCGACAGCTATTGTGAGATCACAAGGACAGAAACAGTGCGGCAGTTGTTCGTAGTCGGAGGTGTCCGTTACCATTGTCGCGCGAAATAACAAGCAAAAATTCCAGGAACGTTGGTCACTATTACTGAAAATATCACCAATAACGCATGAGCACCTCTAGCAGCGGCTAAGGTTCCGTGCCCTTAACCTCTCTTATCAAGCTCATGAGTCCATGGCATCAGCCTGGGCGAGACACACTCTAGCAGCCATCATCATCATCATCATCATCATCATCATCATTGGCCACCTATTAATGCACACTCAGGTGGATATGCACGCCGCTGCGCTTTGTCCCTCGTGCGGCATGCTCCGCGGTTAGAAGAAAATAAAGCTCAGTTCTGCTCCTGCCATCCACTGAACGGGTTGCTTGGTTTGTCGCTCGCCACCACACACACGGTTATAGAGGGCATAACCTCGGTCCATATAATGTGGTGACCCGGACTTGAGTACCGCAAGGCGAGCACTGCGTCATGGACGAGACTGTAAACGCCAGACCAACGATCGGCACGGAAGGCATCACCACGGTGTAGATTCACCTACCACCGTTTTGGCCCCAGAATCCTGCGACCTGGTTTATGCACATCGAGGCCACGTTCGCCTTTCGGCTATCCTCGGTCCCTATAGACACCAATGGTGGTGCGCCATTTTTTATTCCACTCCCACCTTGCTAGCCATTGGTGAGCAATCGCTCTGTGCTCACGACCGTGGTTCTGGTAGCAGCGATGGTGTTTGCGCTTACGTTATTGCGAAAGGTGCTGTGAGATTACAAGAGCCGATTTCGGCGCCTTAGCTGCCCGCAACCGGTGCCCTGCCACCAGTGTCCGTAACCACTAAAAAAAAAAAACGTGGTTTATGCGCTATACGCATGCACCGAAGGACGATGAAAAAGTTATTCATGCACCCATTCATAAATATGTAAATTATTACATCTTTCATGTAATAGTTGTAATAATCGGTATGACACGAAAATGTAACGTGCCTGCAAAGAGGTAGTTGAGTGCTTATTGTGCATTGTTTCGTCAAAAGGACGAAGAAATGAATGCTACAGCAACAAATTGCGAAGTTACGTGACAAACGGCACGCAGATCGAAACTTGCAGCGCACACCTCAGGGCAGAAAGCAAGCACGAAATTAGGCATACACAGGAGGTGCGCAGACTAAAAGCTGTCACAGCTCTACACCTTAAGCGGTCTATTCAAATGGAAAGACGCACGAAACGAACGAACCAGTATACACAGTACAGGCCCAAAGAACACCCACAATTCTTGCTTCTTCGTGTGTGAGCAGTGTGCTCCTATCGTTAACGCGGCTGGTGCAGCGAGCGAGTGACCTTCGTGCTCGCCGGAATTAAGAGTCTGATGAGCGTTCCGCCCAGGCGAGACCGTGCTTTGAGGAGGCGGCGCCGATCGAAAAGCTGGCGGCGACTATTTTTAGAGCGCCTTAAGCGCGAAACCTTTGCGCCATCTCGCTACTGGTGTCGTACGCGCGGTGATGTTGTGGAGCTCGGAGGACCACCAAACGGTGTATGGTGTATATATATGAGTGGCTTGCCGTTAGCAAGTTTGACAACGTACGTTTCGTGGCATAATGGTTAGCGCCAAGCGCTGCAGATCGAGAGGTCGCATCTTTTGACGCCCCGTGGAAGAATCTTTCGGTCTCGTTACTTTCTTTGCAGACTGTTAGTGTGCATTTTACAACGTCATATCCGTGACAGAAATACGTCAGCAGAGCCATGGCGGACCCCGGCGTAAAATAATTTTGTGTTAAAAAGAAAAAAAAACACTCCTAGAGAAGGACGGGATTTGAATCGGATATTCTACCTCAGAGCCGCGCTGGTACTTGAAAATCATTCGCAAAAACAGTCCATAACGTGTCTTGTCGGGCAAGAAATTGTGCTAACATATCTATAGTATTGCGTCGCAGTAGGTTGATATAACAGCCAGGTGCCACGCAATGTGAAGTGCACAACGGATAGGTCATTTTTTTTTGCTTCCAACACATTAAAAAAAGGCTTAGCCATAATTCTTCCTGTCGTCAGCCACAGCACAAAGTGCACATCATACCTCGCAGATGTACAGCGGTTACCACGCTTCTGCGCACATGGACGAATATTGGCACAGTAGACGCCGGCCTGCTTCATGAAAGTTTCGATAACTTATGGCATGGTGGGTAACTCGCACATGTACTTGTAATAGCTGCCTCATGAGGTTCTACAACGGGCATTAGAAAAGCAACTCTTACAGCCTTCGCTGTGACTATGCTGCGTATTCTGTAGAGACCTAGCGATTTTTAGGGGTGAAGCTCTTTTTGCTTTAAGCAAGTTTTTCAGCACGCCGTGTCCACTTGTTCTCGAGGTGAGTGCAAGGCGAACGCTCTTGGCGCGCCTCCTTTGTCATCGCCGAGAGGTCAGTGAGTGCACATCTCCACGCAGCTACTCATTGTGAACCCCGCGGAAGCGAAAGCACCGGCACCGAGGGCTCGTAACGCGGCTGCAATGCGGGCCCTCCACCAACACCCCACGGTGACAGCTCGACAGACAAAAGAAAGGCGCCAGCGTCGGCAGCAATCGCAAAGCAGCACCAGCATCGCTCCGAGGCGGCGGCAGCGGCGAGGGTTCACGCAGCCGAAGCAGAGCGGGAATTCAAGGACGATCTATTCGTGCTCGTCGGAGTCTTCAACGTGGACATCATAGCGGTTGACGACTGCTGGCTAGTCTCGCTCATGATCTTTCTGTTACGGTCTCTGATGCAGCCCGTACGACCACAAGCGTCCCACCACCATCACCTATGTCGATATTGCCTTCTTCAATTTTCAACCACAATCTCTCATGCGACATCCTTTCACGTACTTAACCGACAACAATATTGAGAGGGAAAAATCATTCCACAGATTTGTAGTAAGTAATGTAATTCTTTCATAATTTCATCAATATGTGTGGGCTGTTCATCGAACCCGTGACGTGGCGGAGAGACAAGGTCTCTTTGTCCCGACGTGGAAGCGGCCTGCTGCACTCTATACGCATGCACCGAACGACGATGAAAAAGTTATTCATGCATCCATTCATAAATATGTAAACCATTACATCTTTCATGTAATAAATGGCGTATACGTGGATGGATAAGTAATAAACAATCTGTATGTAAGAGTATTGTGTGGGGAATGTTTCATGGTGTCACCGTTGAGCATTGCAGCTTCGCTCAACTCATCATCATTCACTTCGTGGAGACGGTGGGATTTTCGGATGCGAAGGAGCTCTTTGACTAGTTTGTGTAACGTTGTACATCCGTGTCTCCGTGCCAGTGTGCCACACTGCGTCCCCCCCTCCCCCGACACAGTTTGAAATGATGCCAAGTCGGTCAAGTCACAGCTAAACGTACACGTATCTCTCTCTCTCTCTCTCTTACCCGCCGCAGCTGCCGACTCATCCCAACACACCTAGGTAATGTTGCTCCTCCACCTGCTCGCAACACACTCCTCGCTCGCTTCACATTCTTCATCGCCCGCAAAGCTCAACCGCACGTCGAGTGTAGATGCTCTTTCGGCTCGTTTATCTGCGATGAAACTTACACGAAACCCAACCCGCATCCCGTGTCTTTGGGTTTCAAAGAAACGTTTACTCGAGTAAAGGCTACACAAAGTTTCGCTTCAAACCGTTCTTCCAGCAGTCGCGTCGACGACCGTTTCAGCCGAGTCAACGGCGTGCACACAACTGCTGCTTCGCATACCATCATGGTTCCCTTTGGGAAGATTGTCTATATTTTTTGCGCTGTGTCACCATGCTGTCTACTGAACAGTATAAACTGGCGAGCTTAGTGCAAGCCCTTCTGTTGCTTGCAACTACATCTGCTATGTAGGGCGCGGCATGTCAAATGTTCGAATCTTAGACGTTGTACTTGGCTAGATGAACGTGTGTTACAACTCAATGCTCTAACCGTGGTAAAAATACGCGAGATAAACGTTCGAACGCACCTACTACTCCATTGGACTTGCCGGTCGTCAGCGATGTCCGGGAGTGGCTCCCCGTCTCAAGCTCGTGTCGAAGATCAGCCGCGTCCTCCTGAAAACAGGATTCCGCATGGCGAGGTGACGGGGGTTGGGAGGCACGAGGTCGCTCTCCTCGAGGTCTTGAAGCTTCAAGGAGACTCGGCCCTCGGCGCCCATTGATGGAAGGTAAAGGGACGACCACTGTCGATGATGATCATTATTTTTGGACGAATGGCATGTACCCACTCGGAGATATCAGTAAAAAGTCGGGTGGATCATACAGTGTGGGTTTATTATTATTTTTAAGAGCTAACATAGGCTACAGATGTAACGGTAATAAAGCGTTAATTGAATACTTACACCAGGACCGGAACCGTCTTTTCCTTGTGCCACTTTGCGCATGTATATGAGAATGATGAAGTGCGGTGTTGGTAATGATGACGATAATAAACTTGTATGACTGGTGCACGTTTTCGGTATGCGCTCGAAGATGGCGCGCTTTCTCGCATGCTTCATATAGATTACACAGCGTACCACACATGGAGATGGGAAGGAGTGGATATGTGGACCGTATTATATTACATATTACTCAAACCTTCACGGTGTGACGAGGACGCCTTCGTTGACTATTGTTTGCTCCGTGTGAGCACTTTATTGCTACCGCCGTAAAAGTGTCGGTTCGTGAGTGACATAAAATCGGCCGTAGCTCTCTTTCACAGTAAGGTGTTGCGGGTTGTCTTAGGAACTTTCCAAGAATTTCGCACCTTTTCTTGAAAGAACACTGAGAGGTCTCCTAATGTATCCGATATCTTTACAATCACCTACCAGATATGACGTTATTTTAGTGTTCATCAGTTTTTTGTATCATCAACTTTATTTCACATTGCGTTAGTGCTTTACAAGGAAGGTATAAAACCAAAAATGCTACAGTTATAAGGCATATACACAGAATAAGCTAAGTATGCAGTCTAAACAGAAAAGAACCTGTACAGAATAAATGGGAAAGTCTGGCTGACGTCCAAGAAACACCAAAAGCACACGATGTCTTGCATTTGAAGCACAACAGAAACACACGAGATCAGAAAACACCAAACGTCAGATGCAGTACACTTACAGAAAAGACGCTTGGTTGGATTAAAAAGATTTCTGAACTAATAATTCTGAGATGCTGATCATGAAAGGGGACTTACACCTTTCCTGGACCGTGGACTGAAGAGTGCTGAACAACAGGATGTGAATTTTAGCGAGATGGCATTCACTGAGCACAAGAAACGAACAGAAGGTAAACTGTTATATGGGCTTGAGCAAACAAGGCGTTTTTAAAGGATGTAGATGTATTTCTGTCAACTTGTGCAAGTAAACTATCGCTGAGTAGCAGGGCTCCGATTTCGTTAGGTCACTGTAGTTTCAGAACTAGGCCAGCGCAAGCACATCTGGCTTCTTTGTATTGCGAACCAGTTTACACGACGTCGATTCTTAGTCGCGAAGGTGGACAAAACAACATTTTATTCGGAACTATACGGGCGTGGACGATGCGTGGCACTTGTGCTTATTGCGATGTATACTTCTACAGTATTATGGTACTTCAGCTGTTTGGTTGGAAGACTGTGACGTGTTCACTGCAATCTTCCATGTCGCTGCTGTCCCATCATCAGCGATACAACAGGCTAATTAGACATACAATGCAAGCTGTGCGCAAATTATAAAGCTCAAGTGTCTCGCCTTCGTAGCTGTGAGAGCTGCCAAACGATGCATACGCGGTCACTTTTTTGTCCAGTTCTGACTAGCCTTCTTTGCTGTTATTGTACGGATGAAAACACCGCAACACAGCATCACCGACATCCTTCAAACGAGCGTGTCATACTTTTTCTCGGTTATTTAACGTGGACTAATATACTTCAATGGTTCATGATATGAATAGGACAAAAAGTTCGGCTCGATAGTATGAACAGCGACATTAATCCTCACGCCAGCAGTGTATTCGGAGCATATCATAGGTTGGCGAAGAAGAGGTAGTTCGCTAAGACTCGCTCAAGTAATATGTTTAGCGCTTAAGGCTTGATGGGAATTAGCTTCACCCAAATTTTGGCTAACCGGACTCACCCCAGCTCATACGACTACCATCTTCTTTTCTCAACCGGATTTACTTGCTCTCGAACTCGTCAGGAATAACTGAGACCCCTACTCACGGCCCGATATAAATGAGTAGACCTAAGGGCGAGTTTGCGGATCGTCGGTAACTTTACTGCCTTTGCTAGCTTTACTTGACCTTGGCGCCAGAAGTTTGAATGGCACACGAGACCCGAAGTACCGCAAGAAAAATGTTTACGGTGTAACGAAACACAGAGCACAACTTTGTGTTGCCCTTCATATCGACTTCTAATGAAACCCTCTTCTGGTGTACTTTCTTCTGATACGTATACTTTTCATGAATTTAAGTAAACTACGTAATTCTGCGCTAAGAAGCAAGCGGGCAGTAAGCGAATGCTAAGATTTTTTTTTAGCATGCGGCACTCACGCTGGTAGTAAAATGAAAAAAAAAACAAATTTGTTAAAATTAGTCTGATATGACATCATATTTCGAACCATCAGTGATGTTTTCGAGCCAAAAAAAATAAGTAAAACAATGAATAGGGCACAATGAAGTTAAAAAGTTCTGCGCACCTCAACTCTATAGTAAGAATGACTTAGGGAGGAGGCTTTTTGGGCTAGTTGATCTATCACGATCAGGGCTCAGCGCGAATATTAAAGACTTGAAGAGATACACTCCCTTTGTTCTAATACAGTCGAACCCAGGTATATATAATACAAGGGGAACCGCAAGAAAGTTGTTTTTGTAAATAATTCAATAGACAAAATATTTTAGATATTGAAACTATATCATCAAGAAATTTTACAACTGCTCAATACACGGAATACTTCGTTACCCATGGATGAAGTAATTAAGGTCGAGGCTCATAGCTTTACTAGTGTTCATTGTTTACGCTGGGATAACAAGCTTGTACAGTTATACCTCGATTTAAAGAAAAGATATACGAACAAATGTCTTGCTAGTGGTAGTACTTTAACGTAATAGCACTCTACTAATAGCTTAATCTCTGCGCTGCGCCCCCACCCAAAAACATTCTTCCGGTGCCGATGCTTACCGCACAGGACTAACCACCATGGCTCTTAATACAAAATTTTGAGGGGAGCCGACAGATGGAAACAACGTGGTGGGATAATCATAAGATGAGCTGGTGAAGTGCCTGAACTCTTCTGCTTTATAGTATCTTGCTTTTCAGGCGTCGATCACCGACAGGGACACTCGTCACCACCATGAGATAGCGTCACCACCAAACCTTTAAAACTAACACGCCAAGGATGACACGGCGCCTTTGAAAGTCCTCCTATCGAAACGTCGGCCAGTCAGTCTGAGGCACTTCACCTGTTCATCTTATGATTATCTTAACACCACGACTGCTGCAATTTGCAGAAGGGCGACGATTCTAAAGTCTCTTTAGGCAGCAAAAGTTATGCACGATATGCAACATGCGGTGTGCGTTGCGAGTTTGCCGTCGCGGCGTCATCAAAGTGAGTCCACGAGAATGTCCGCCGCCGCCCTTATGTGGTAAGTCAACGATGCCATTAGCGGCGTCGCGAGGGGCGATGCCTCGACCAGGGCTTTCTTCAAGGCGGTGAACCGAGATCCAACGTTGGAGTCATCGAAGCTGACGCCGAACACAACATGCTTACTTAAGTAGGTCCCCCACGTGTGGTTCCTGAAAGACATAAGGACAGAAGAGTGTGGATGAATGATGTAGTGATTCATTGAGAGCTCTGTCACACAAAGGATAAGTTTTGAGGAGAGGCCAAGTGGTCAGCCAATCATATGCGTGCTCGTGTTCCACTTCGGTTGGGCAAGGGGAGCAAGTCCTTTTACAGAGCCCCCTCCCCCCCCCCTCGCACACACACACACCATCTGTCCCCACACTGTTCAAGAAAAAAAAAAGAAAACATATCAAGCTCTGTAATGGATGCAAAACTGAAGCGAAAACGTGGGTTTTACAGCAGCCTCCCATTTTTCCACGGCTTTCAGGGTTAAAAATTTCAAGTAAACGACTCTTTCAATGCAGAATTACATGACTTGGTCGTTAATGTTGTCGAAAAAACATGCGCAGCTATAAACACTCACAATAAAAAAATGGCCACGTATCTGTATATTAATCTGCAAATGTCGTCGAAAGACGATAGTCTTGCGTGTGTAGAGACTGAACAAAACATTTATTTGATGTTCTGTGCAAGAAAATCGGTGAATGGTATTCCGGAGGCGCTCCGTTAGAGTGCCTTGAGCGTGCAGCGGAGGCGAACGAGCGCATCAATACATGTCACACGTGAGACATGAGCGCCATCTGGCAGTTCTTTTTAGAAAACAAAGCGCGTGGCTCTGAGACGGGTATGCGCGCCCGTCTCAGAGGTGATAAGGTGTAGAACGCAAGGCGATGGGTAGGTGCCACCACCGTCTCTCTTAGCAAAGCGTTGGAAACACTCCCCGTTCCGTGCAAGCGTTGCATGGTCAGCGCAGCGTGATATGTGCTACGGTCCTTAAAATTACCTATGTATGCCTTTTCTAGTAAAAGACAAACATGTAGAAAATATATGTGTTGTTGTGGATTGCTTTTTGATTGACAATCGCACACGTATGAATGCTGACCTTTGAGCAACATTGGTGGGCGCTGCGGATGGGGTCGGCCGTTCAGGGTATCTGCTGGTGCTGTTTAAAATACCCGGTTTCGGTAACAGTGGACAAACAGACAAATGCACAGACAGACAGACCAAATTTTTTGCGTGGAAGGTCTCTAAGAACAACTATCATCTTTAAAAATGCTGTAGATTCCGCCTACCATGGAAATGGTCATAATGCGAAGCAGGGGGAGGGAAGGCGACCGTGTTCTAATTTTTTATTGAACAACACGTTACGTAATGACGCTAAATATATGTACAAATGTTGTACGCACAGACATATGTTGAACAGTTGCATATTTTTTACATAACCAGTTCACACTTGCGGAACGATACCAACAGAAACATTAGTATTAGCAATACCAGAAGCCGTGAGCTGATAATAACGCTTGTGCTTTCGAGTATGGTACCCCTGGACACTGCTATGCAAATCAACTTCAGTGGATGGCTTCTTACTACAATTGACGTTAACCCGACGAGACGGCTGTATCATAAATGTACACATGTAATGTTTATAAAGTTGGATAGCCTGCATATTGCAACCGCAATATACCGTTTTCATAATTGTAAAGCTAGCTTTCCTGCTAAGCAGTTTGAACAACTAGTCATTAGTCATTTAGTGCAAATAGCCTGTTCAAGCGTGGTTTGTTAACGCAATGCCATAGAAATTGTTCAGTCGCCTCTAGAGATAATACTCATAATACATGAATCCCAGCATGTTCAAATTTTACCCCGTTCCACTTGAAGCACGACATGTGTTCAAACATGCAACGGAGAGAAGCGCACTTGTGAGTTATGAAAAGGGTACATCGACTTTTCACCAAACATTACACATGAATAGTGTGTTTTTTAAAGACGATAGTCTTTCTTGGGGACCTTCGATGAAAACATCTTGGTCTGTCTGTCTGTCTGTCTGTCCGTCCGTCTATCCGTCCATCTGTCAGTCCATCCGTCCATCCGTCTCTGTCTGTCTGTCTGTACATTCGTCTGTTTGTCCGCCCTAACGATACCTCCAACGGCACCAAACGGCCAAACCAATTCGCAGCACCCACCAATTGCTCAAGGTTTAGCACTCATAGTTGTGCGATTTGTCAATTAAAAAAGCAATTATTGTGCATATCTGAGGCGCCATAACAACACTTCGAAGGTTTGTATGTCTGCCTTCATACTGGAAGAGGCACACACAAGTAACTCTAAGGAATGTAGCGTTTATTGCGCTGCGCTGATAGTGCAACGCGATGCTCAAAAAGGTGTTTCCATCGCTTTGCTGCAACGTCACGGTAGTGGCACCTGCCCGTCGCTTTATGTTCTACACCTTATCACCTCCGAGACTGGCGCGCATCTTTCTCCGCGGTCTGTACGCCTTTGTTTTCGAAGACAACTGCTAGATGGCGCTTGTGTCTAACGTGCCTCGATGCGCTCGTTCGTCTTCGCTATGCGCTCGTTCGTCTTTGCTACACGCTCGAGGCACTCCAACGCAGCGCCTCCAAAATACCATTCACTGATTTTCTTGCGCAGAGCATCAATTAAACGTTTTGTTCACTCTCTTCAGACGCAAGAATATCATCGTCTTTCGACTACATTTGCGGTGTAACATGCAGATTTGGAACCAATTTTTTTAAAGAACAGGACCGTGACAAGCACGTCATATTCGCCAAGACAGACGGACGGACTGACGGACGGACAGACAGACAGATGGACGGACGGACAGACAGACAGACAGAAAGATAGATGCATGCAGTACGCAAATGAATTCTTGGCTTTTGGAATAACATGAATGGTCTAGCAGAGTAGAGGTGTGGTGCAGAAGTGGCGCGTCCCTTTGGATGACAACGGGTGGCACCAAGGTTAACGGATGACAAAGATTGGGAGGTGTCCACCCCCCTGCCCTATCTGTGTGCGCGCCTATGTAGACGCCAAGGTAGATACAACTTGTAGCGAAGGTTCCAAAGAAGCAGATGCGCTCAAAAAATGGGGGCTGATCAGCAGCTCATGCGGCTTTTTGAGGAGAGCAGACATACGCAATAGCTGGTAAAGAAGTGACGTCATTTTGTGTGTGCTAGTGCAAAGTTTGACCTGAAACTACTTTTTGTAGGTCCCTGATCGTGGAGGTCTCGCGCCATGCGATCTCCGGGGAGTTCTCCACGAGTGGTCTTGAAGTGAACGCCAGCTAATTTAATGATATCGACTGATGACTACATAGTGGTGTTTAGGTGCACTACTGTTCAGTTTGCCTCGCTCGTACAAGGAAACTTCTTTTTTAAATTTTTATTCGGCGTTCGTGGCATCTCCCGCTGATGGATTACAGACCAACAGTGCACCTGTCAAGCATGTAGCATTCGTTCTTTGCTTCGCACATACGTAGGTTCTTTAGCATGAACAATGCTCATGCTCTTCATTTCTAAGAGGAAGAAATAACGCCTAGTCACGCTAAGATTATGACGTTTTCATTTTATTGAATGGTCACGATAACTCAAAACTTACTACACTGCGTGCAAGGGTAGTAAGCTGCAAAAAGTCTGCCGACACTACATGCGATATATTTTCTATTATGCTCTGATAAGTTACCTTACGTATGGGAATGCAAGCATGCGATAGCTTGACAGGACTGTTTGCATGAATAGCATCTTTTTCCTTGGAAAAAACTTCCTTGAAAGTGGCGCCCAGAGAGAGAGAGAGAGTGTGTGTGTGTGTGTGTGTGTGTGTGTGTGTGGTAAGCCTAACACTGAAAACAAACACACATGGCAGACGCTACCTGTACATGTTCCCTGCAAGGATGCCCGGACTGTCGATGAAGGCTCGCTCCAGAAGCATCAGCTTGTTGTTCACGTTTCTAAGGGAATCAATGACGAAACATTGTCATGTACGTGGGCAGCTTGCAACATGACATATCACACGAGAAAGTATACATGCCTAGCACGGGCAATATGCAATGTTTTCGATTGAAGATCGTAAGCGGAATCGGTAAAGAAAAAGTCACTGTTTCGGCAAAAGGGCGAAGCAATAAATGCGATAGCATCATATTCGAATGTTTTACAAAGCAAGGCTAGCATTATAGGAGCAATAATAGTTGTAAACATGCGCTTCCTAAGTAACCAAGTTTCCTGCAGCGCAGCAACAGTAGGAGACCCCAACAGGGCTCGTGCGTAGTTACGGCGTTGATGAGAAGCGCCTCGCGTTACAGTATGTGCTGCAGATTACAGGATGCGTACGAAGCACAATACACCTGTGTGCTCTAACCGAAAGCTCTATGATTTTGTGTGGAAGAAATTCCTGTTATGAAAATGCATTTACTTTAGCGTCATTCTTTCCAACACTGGTGTCTGTGAGAGAAGAGAATGACAGTGACTTTTAATACAGGCTATCGTGCTGCTGGAGGCAATACTTTCACTATATTAATCAGTTTTCGTAAAAATTACTAGCCATCCTAATTTCACACGCGGATTTGTCTTCTGTGGTAATGTGCAGCGATGCGGCAAGCGCTACATTTATATTCTGACTGCAGTACACCTTCAAGCACACAATACATTTACGAAAATGAGTCGTTTTCTAAAATCAGTCTGTCAATCGCCTTAAAGGACGATCCTTCTTGAATAGTGCTGCATGAATTTTTAACGCTGCACCTACCGGTTCACATCATGAACTTTTCAGGGATTGCAACATGGCTTACGAAACAGCAATGCATCAGTAATTGCACAGTAAGAATGTCCGATGTCATATTTACCACGCACGGCTGCAAACATTTAAAATGTCCTCAGGATATAGCCATAGCAGAGATTCCAGTGTCTTACCTGAAAGTTTTGCTGTTCTGTCTCTCCCGCTCAACAGCGTCTGCTGCTTGGGAGAAGCTCTCCACAGCCGAGATTAGTGGCCCTGTGGCATGAAGTAAATCAGAATACGTAAATATATATAAAAAACGTACACACTCTGCTCGCTGGACAATTGGGGTGCACTTTCCCGAGACACAAAAACTCCTGAAATCGCGATTTGATGACGGCCTGTCTTTGAATGTGAAGAACCGTAATTGCGAATACATGCACACGCATCCGTGATAACTTTGATATAGTTCAGAAAAGTTTGTATATGTGAGGTGAAATATACTTCCGCACTCACGAGGCCACGCTAAACGGGCGACGCTATGGCTCTAACACTGCATGTGTGGCAGACGTATTGCATTATGCTTAGCGAGGTGTAAAAGCTTGAAAACTCTGTGATTGACATCAGAGCTTCATTTTCGCTTCACGTTTGTCGCCCGTGTAAGATTAGAGGAGGTATACCCTCTACTATTTTCTAAAAGCTTTACGGGCAGTGCTGCAATTTGGTCGCCGCACGTACCCACGTCGATCCGTTGGTCCTCGATGTGAGTGGCGTAGAGTACACGCAGCTCGGCCAGGCTCTCGTTCAGTGCCGCCGCGTACGGCCGCACCGTGTGGGGCAGCAGTGCAGGCACCGCCAGCTCGTGCGCTGCTGAGGCTAGCAGCTGCGCCACAGCTCGAAGGAACTGGAAGTCAGTGGACATGGGAAAACGAAAACAGTCCTACTAAGGTGAAAGCCTTAGATGCTTAATAAAACGAGAAATTTGACAATCGGCGTCAGCGTCGAGTAATGCGAAAATCTTGTGATGACGGCACCGTATGACATCATAGTGACGTCACAAATTCAAAAGTCTGCGACGACATTATGACGTCATGATGACGCCACTCTGGCATTGCGCCGCATAATGACGTGTTCATATTGCATTGTCACTTGGCTAAAAGAATTAAGTCCGATCACGGAGGCTTACAACGTAAAACCAGGTGCGGTGCGTCCGATTTCAGAAGCTCTGCAAAACCACATTAGGTGCAGTACTCTCTCGAAGAATGGTAGCACAGAATAAAATCATCAAGTGAAAAGAAAAAAGCAATGGCTTTTGCACTCGAGTAGTCTAAGGTGGATGCATAAAACACACTGCTGCTAGTGCTTGTAATACACTGCAAGTTTTTAAGTAAATATATGAGCCCTCAGCGTGCGTTTTTGCCGTCGGCATTGCCGTCGTGTACTGTTAATGCGTGTGTGTTAATTTTTTGCCAAAAAAAAATTAGCTAGCTAAGCAGAAAGTTTTTTTAGAGGCTAACCCCACCTGTTATGACACTACCACCACCACCTGTTTGCACTTCGCGCTGCCCGCAGTATAATAGTATTTGTTTTATTGCCTACAAGTGTGCTTACTTGTGCATTCCTTGACATTTTGGAATTTCTCTTATTGTTACTTACCGAGAACTCTTTGTCGACCATCTTGTAAGCCATTTCGTTCTCGTAGATAGTGTGATAAAGAGGCAAGCAAGAGTCGAAGCTCTGAAATAAAATAGGTAACATTACGCAAGAACTACAAATGATTACTATAGCGAAAGTGAGCTGCTTGGGGAACACGTGACCTCAGAAAGCAGGTAACACTGATCAGAGTTTCGTGCTGAGCGCACCGAGCGTATACCACACAGTTGAAAAAAAGAAAAATGGCACGTAAAAACCAAATACATTTACAATGATAATGGACTTGTAAGCAGTTTAAAAGGTAAGCCAAATGAGAAAGAATTGCAGAAAATAGTAAAAAATAGAATGAATGAGTGCAGCTACATGATGTTAACAAAGCTGATATGCTTATCAGAAAATGATTGGTTGAGGTCAAGTTCATGCTGAGATGAGTACGACGCAACAACAATAGTATAGTTTGACACTTACTGATACCTCTTGGTGTGTGTCTGGGTCTACGGCCTAATATATGAAGAAACTCGAGCGCGTGGGTGTGTTATGGTGTGTGCTTACTGAGCTAGGGAACGATAACAAGGAGATAGAAAATGCATCAGAGCAGCTCATAAAGTTTCGCTTTAAAAAGCGGTACACATTCAGGCAACCTTAATTATGAAGATTGAAGTCATATAACAAATTTCTTGCTATAAGCTTGCTGTTTCAGTAATCTTTGTCTCCACCCTACAAGTACGACCGTGCCACCCCATTCACAATATCAAAATATGCTTTCTGAAAGAACAAAAGCATTGTTGCAGCGTATCCCTTATGTCTATATAGATATGCAAGGTGTTTCATGAAATGTGTCCTATATTTTTAAATATTACAGAAAGAACGTATCTGCGTGCTACTTGCAGTGTTACCTTTACTCTCAAATAAGACATTTTAGATGGGCACAGAAATAAATTACAGCTGTAGTTATGCAAACTACAACAATTAATGTTTTAACCAAAGAACTTAAGTGATCAAGTCCAGTGGGTGAATTTAAGTCCTTCCTGCGAATAGTCTATAACAACTTTAGAATTTTTGTAAGGCGGCCAGTGGTAATCACCGCGGAACAATAAAATCTGGCTAATTTAGCAGGTGAAACCGAAATGAATGCACCTCAACAGTGCATCTACTATTCACTTAGAAAAATCTCTCAGTGAGGACAATGTTTCCCTCACCGTTATCAACAGTCAATCTAGACACTTCGCTTTGCGCCCACTCATCGGCGCTCGCTTATCCTCTTCCCTGAACAGTGCCGTTATTGAAACCGTTTTCGAACTGAATGGTAGATGCAATGTTTGGTGTGTCCGTTTCTCTTTCGCCTGCTAAATTAGTCAGATTCTATCGCTCCGCAGTGATAACCAGTGGCCGCCTTTCGAAAATTTTCAAGTGTCTATGGACTATTCACAGGAAGAATTTGTATTCGCCCAATGAACTCGATCGGCTATTTTCGCCGGTAAAAAGGTACTTGTTTTAATTTCCATAATTACTGCTATAATTACCATTTGTGTGCATCTGAAGATGTCTGATTTAACAATAAGGGAACGCCGCATGCCGGTAACACCCAGATGCCTCTTTTCTATAATTTTCAAATAACATTCGACACATTTCTCGAAACACCTGTATATGTGTATACATCTTTCATAAGCCAATCTGCCTACCAGTATGCTCACGCGCGCGAATTGACATTGATCTACCTCTTCTGGGAGCTCAATTCAATTCCTTCCATTTTATGTCATAATTACCATAATACAGTTGAGAACTACAAAATAATGACCTCCATGTTTCTTTTTGTTTGAATGTCTTTCGATTCATTTTGTTGTGTATAACAAAGACACGAGGCCTCGAGAAAGCTTTTCAAATCTTTCATTCATTTTGAAATTCACAGATACCGGTGACCACAACCCGTCATATGGTCCACAAATTTTGTAAATTTAATCCGACAAAGATGACGAGGCTTTTTTTACAGCAATAGGTTTACCTGTAGAAACAGCGAAACCTGTTCGAGGTCTGTCACCTCTGTTGATGTATATTTTAGCAGATCAACACAAATTTATGACATCAGCACATTGAGCTTTCGGTTCAATAATTAACGAGTACCGCATAATTATAAACAGTATGTAAGTGTTAACGTACTGGCGATCTCGTGCTGCATAATAATTATTTCGACTTACCTGGTTGCGACAAGCATAGCGAACGTCGACACTGGGAATGCCAAGTTCGTGGTAGAATGGTGCGTAATCACTGTCCGACGCGAGATCCAAGAACCTGAGTGATAAATTGCAGATATAATCTTATTCGCTCTTTAGAATTTATGACTCTGCCAAATTAAATCAGCGCATAATTTCATCAAATCTCGTACAATAATTAATTTCGCTCGATGAGTTAGCCAGTGAAATCGTAGTGCAAGAAATAACTAGAACAATACTACAACTATCCTTGAAAATAAAAGGTATGTTTATATTATTTTACGCCTACAGAAAGCTGCGTAATAAACGGTAACACGGAGAAAGCGTAGATATTTTTAGAAACGCGAACCGAAATGAGAAATCTGTTAGTGTTTATTTAACGGTGACAAGGCCATTACGATTAAAGAAAAAGACGCATCTTTTTCTCTCTTTCTCAATATTTTTCAGCTGATGTACCTGCGTAATTTTAGTTTACATATTTCATTTGTTCTTTCTTGTTCACCACCTAGTAATCATCTGCCAGTTTTTTAATTCAGTTTAGTTGCAATTTATAACAGACGGTCCAATTTTAGGTATTTGTGCTCTGGGATTCTCACCTATAGCATATGTAACCAATAATCTTCCACCGAAAGGGAAGCTGCTAAAGTAAAATGCAGTGCCATTCATTTCCGGCTTACCTTGGCTCGGTGTCAGGGTTATTGAATGATGGAGAATTTTCGAGCCAGGTGTCGAACACTGACATCCTCCCGTGGGCGACTTCCTCCTTGTCAGGATTTGGGAGCTGCATGATAAATATAACCGAACGCTGTGGATAAACTGTACAATGTAACTGTATGAAAACAAGTATATGGCCTGCTAACAAGGAGATATTCAGGCAACGCAATTTTTTCTCAACTTTTTGGGCTCTCGTTCAATTGATTGATTGACTTTTGTAGTTTAACGCTTCAAAACCACGATATAGTTATGAGAGACACCATAGAGGGGGGGTCTAGAAATATCGACCACCTGGGTTCTTGGACTCTCGTTCAATTCAATCAGTTTCATCAACGGAGAACATCTATCGACACCCTGACTGCACGTCGTTAGAAAGAACACTGCCGTGCACTTGCCAAAACCTGACAACCAGCCGAAGCAATGACGGCAACATCTGGCATAATCATGGTTTCATGGGTAATGTGCATCGCAAGCTGGGTCTGTTGGTGCATAATTATGGCAAGAACAAACAACGGACGGAACACAAAGGACGATGACGAACGCTAAACATTAAGAAATAAGGTTCAACCAACCAACCTTTGTTGATGAATTGCACGTACACTTTCACTATTCCACACAGACGTCATTCAGTGCACATGCTTAGGCACGCTATCAATGTATCATTAGGTGCCCCGCCGCGGTGGTCTAGTGGCTAAGGTACTCGGCTGCTGACCGGCAGTTCACAGGATCAAATCCCGGCTGCGGCGGCTGCATTTTCAGTGCAGGCAGAAATGTTGTAGGCCCGTGTGCTCAGATTTGGGTACACGTTGAAGAACCCCAGGTGGTCGAAATTTCCGGAGCCCTCCACTACGGCGTCTCTCATAATCATATGGTCGTTTTGGGACGTTAAAGCCCACATATCAATGTATCTTTAGGTATTAGGGATGGCGCGCTCACACAACACTCCCCCAGATAGAAAACGCGTTTGGCTTCCTATTTTACAATGACAAGCTAGAAAGCGCCACGAGGCGTGTTAACACGCACGCGGTGATTGATTGATTGATTGATTGATATGCGGAGTTTAACATCCCCAAACCACCATATGATTATGAGAGACGCCGCAGTGGAGGGCTCCAGAAATTTCGACCACCTGGGGTTCTTTAACGTGCACTCAAATCCGAGTCCACGGGCCTACAACATTCCCGCCTCCACCTAAAATGCAGCCGCCGCAGCCGGGATTCGATATCGCGACGTGCGGGTCAGTACCCGAGCACCTTAGCCACTAGACCACCGCGGCGAGGCTGCATACACGCATGTGATGAAAAAAAATTTCGAAGGCTTCCTAGCTAGTCACCGGGCTTCCACTTTCATACGTTTCTGCAACTTCAGAATCAATGACAAGAACAGTGCAGCGCAATCATGGCACTTAGACCACTGTAACTGGCCTGTTCTGTTTTGTTTTAACTATTTTGCTGTGGAGAGGTTGATGTGCCTATTGCCTCGGCTTCTCGATATCACAAAGTTCTGCAGCAAAAAATAAAATAATAATACAGAACGGTACCCAAAAATTAACAATACAGAAAAAAAAACAATAGCACGCTGAAACCAGTTCGAATATCATGCCAATACACAGTTTTCTTCGCGCAGTTCACACAGTCATAAACTATTTACACGCACACCTTGCTATTCTACTGCCGTATAACATGACCACATTTTATATATACCCATCTCTGGCTGTCTGTCATAGGCGCTTGTCCAGTCCGGTCTCCACTAAAAAGTCTGTCAGGAAGATTATTGCCTTTTTCTGGAGATGCATCTTAGGCCATGGTCCAAGTAGTTTTTTTTTATTGTGAGGGGCCATCTGCCCAAACTCGCTAATTTGTTCTTTAATTTTTCTCTTTCATTCGCATATTTAACGCACTCCAAAAGAATATGGCGAACATTTTCTTCTGCATGACCGCAATGGCCTTCCGGTGAGTTGAATCGACGTATCTTGTGCAGGAAGCTGTTCGTGTATGCTACTTCCAATCGAAGACGGTGGATTATTGTCTCTAGGTGTTGTGGCAGGTCTGTAGCTATGGAAAATTTTCTGTGTGGATCAACTTCATAAAGTACCGTTTCCTTTGATTTAGGGCTCTCAAACCACTTCTCCATCGAACAATGATTAGCTCTTTGCGATATAAAATGCCGAATATCCGCCCCAGACAAAGGGATTGCGCAATCCCGTCCTTCGTTCAATGCTTTCTCTGCGAGGCTATCAGCCTCTTCATTTACCTTTATTCCAATGTGACTGGGTATCCATTGGAATACGATGTTGTGACACTGCGATGAGGCATATTCCACAGTTTCTGCAATACATTGTGCTATTTCACCATTTTTGTAAGGTGATCTCACATTTCTGATTAGCTGAAGAGCAGGTTTGCTATCAGAGCATATCACCCATTTTCGTGGCTCAGGATTCTCGCAGATAAGCCTAACTGCTTCAAAGATAGCCACCAATTCTACTGTCGTCGATGAAGTTTTGTGCGATAATTTGTACATCTTTTTCTGAATTTCGGGTATAAAGACCGCACAGGCTGACGCTTATTCAGTGCATGATCCGTCTGTATATATCTTCGTTTTTTCATCATGCATTACATGAAGCTGATGAAGTACCAACTGTGCCGCTACTAGAGGTGCCATGTCTGCTTTCTTCTCTATGCCGTCTATTTCACGGATAACGTTGAGAAGTGGCAGCGTCCAAGGTGGTTTTGAAGGTTTCCATTGTTTAAATTCTGGTACTACTGCTTGAAATGATGATATAGTATCCTGTAGTCTCGTTGCCTTCCTTTGTATTAGTGCACCAGATAAAAATGACTTTCATGTTGCGTGAAAATTCTGAATAAATTTCGAGATGTTTCTTTAGTTCGGAGTACTGCGAAAGGTGGCTCTCGAGCCTCCGTATACACTAAAGCACTGGAAATTGACCGTGGTAAGCCCAGACATACCCTCAAGCTCCTTGCTAATAACAAGTGAAGTCTCCTTTTGGTGGAGGCTGCAAGTCCATGCAGCAAAGGCAGTGAGTAAGTTACGATGGGGTGTATCCAGGCAACATGTAGGGCTAATAATGAATCTGTAGTACCACCCCATTTAGCCCCGCAGAGATGCCGGAGGATTCGAATGGCCTGATTCATTTTTCGTTCAAGGGACTGGACATGAGGTGACCATGTTAGCCTCCGGTCTAGAATTACTCCCAAGAATTTATAAGTTTTAGCCATTTGAATTGGCTGATTTTACAGAATAATTTGGAAATTTCCAGGTCTTTTTAATGTAGATGGAAGTATGGCTGTTTTAGCCAGACTCAGTGCCATACCTTTTTTTTTAAGAAAACCGTCTACATAATCCAATCCTTCTTGTAGAGTTTGTTGTACATCCAAAAACGATGGACCACATGTCCATATACTTATATCATCAGCATATACTGAACATCTGATGCTAGGTGGAAGATTATACGGGAGCTGCGCCATGAAAGCATTAAAGAGAGTAGGGCTTAGTACGCTGCCCTGTGGCACTCCTTGGTTGAAGACATGTTCCGACGCTGGGCCTTCCTGCGTAGCTACAAAAATTTTCCGGTGATTCAGGAAGTCAGCGATCCATCGCAGTATATTGCCCTTGAATCCCTGCAACTCCAGGCCTTCCAGAACGTGAACGTGACTCACTGTGTCGTATGCTTGGTGGACATCAAGGAATACAGTGACAGTGATGTTTCCTTGCGTTCGTTGGTTTTCCACATCTGTGACCAAATCCAGAATGCAGTCCGTTGTGCATCTACCTCTTCTGAAGCTGGCTAGGCTTTCTGGTAGTAGTTTTTTCATGTCTTGCCATCATAAAATTCGTTAATTGATCATTTTTTTCTATCACTCTTGAAAAACAACTTGTCAAACTAACCGGCCTAAACGAGTCCAACTAAATAGGGCTCTTCCCTGGCTTTAGCAACGGGACTACTTTTGATATCTTCCAACTTTCCAGAACTCTTTCTTCTTGCCAACTTTTATAATAGGTGTCCAACAGGTGTAATTTTCCTTTCTCGCACAAATTAGCAAGAGCAGCGTATGTAACTCCATCTGTTCCTGGTGAACTTGTTCGTTTTACTGAAGACAGCACATATTGTAGCTCCTCTGGTGTGAAGCTGTCACCCAGATCTGATAACTTTGTTACAACCGCCGAAGCTGATTCTGCTGAGAATTTATATTCGCTAGTTTGGGCGGTCTCTCCATTTCTCAGTATAAGATCGCAAAATTGTTCGGCAATCACACGTTCGCTAACTCCTCGAGACAGCGCTAGAGCTTGTAGTGGTCTCGATAGGACTACTGGCTGTCGGAGGGCGCGTACCATGTTCCACAGTTGAGGCGCTGAGGTAAATGGAGAAAGCGAAGCATATACATCTTGACACCTTTTGGTTGAAAGCTTCTGCAGTTGGTTATGCATTGCAGATTGTACTTTCTGTGCAATCTTGAAATCTTCTAAATTACCCGACCTGCGATATCTTCTTTCAGATCGGCGTCGTAGTGCCCGAAGCCTCTCATACTCAGCGTCAACACCCGAATACCCATCTGGAATGGGTACTGCACGAGTTGCTTTTGTTAGAAAGTTTTTTATCTTCGATGCATACGTTTCTGCGTCAGAACAAGGTTCAAGATTTTGTCTCTGTAGTTCTCGAAAGATTGCCCAATTTGTAATTCTTGTTGTGCGGTTATTTTTCGTTTTCTTCAACCTTGGGTGATATATGAATACTGGCAAGTGGTCACTTCCTCTTGTATCAGCGTCTGCAGTCAAGTCTGCTCCACCGCTAATTCAGAAGAGCACACAGTGATGTCTAGTATGCTGCAGTAGTTATGCCCCCGTAGAAACGTCGAAGAACCATCATTTAGTATAGTGTAACCATGGTCTTCGCATGTTTTTACTATAGCAGATCCTCTTACATTACAACGCTCACTACCCCACAATTCATGGTGCGTGTTAAAATCACCACATATAATTATGGGATCATGATCAGATCTACACACTGCAGCCAACTCTGTGTATGAAACGTTTGCTTGAGGGTGCACGTAAGCACTAACTACAGTTACAGTAACGTTACCAAAGAAGAAGAAGAAGTGAATGGAAGAAGCCCGTAGCTTCATTTTGCTCTCTGAATTCAGTTATTATATTGAGTTCGGGATCTTTTTACGGTGTGTGCATTGGGTGGACTGTCTCCAGAGTGGCAGCTAAACATCGGTGAGTCGCGTCTGTCTGTGTGACCGTCCGTGCGTCCATCCGCCCGTCCGTACGTCATCCCTGCGTTCATCCCTACACTCGCCCCTCCATCCGTCCATGCGTCCATCCGGCCGTGCGGCCATCCATGAGTCCGTCCAAGCATCTGTCTGTGTGTCCGTTCATACATCTAGTCAACACTCCAAGTACCACCATCTCGCAACTTTTCATCATATATTCCGCATTGAGAAGCACCAACATTTAGCGGACATTCCAAGGACTAAACGAGATGTGGCACACGCACACTTTCTTACGGCTTGCGCTTTGTGTATACTTCCCACCTTTAACCACCTCGAGTTCATTGTATATACTAGTTCACTGTATTCATGGCACTGCGGTCCAACGCTCACTAAACCTTACTAAAACCAAGGAGGTTACGCCCGGCGAGTATAACGTAGCAACCCTTTCTTGTCAGATAGTGCTCAATGTACATGCCAATGGCTGCTAAGGGGGAATGAGAGACAGAAGAATTGGGCTTTTAGTTAACGCGCACGCTGCGAATTTTTTATAGTTCAACAACGAAAAGGAGAAATCTCCCACCAAAAAAACCTTGCAGGTCAAAGCGTAAGACATGTTACGTACTACGACGAGGGACCACCTGGTGCCGCTTTAAGGAGCTTCACTCCTGAAACCCAAACTACGCCGAACGGGTTTTGTGCCTATAAAAAAGTTATGACAGTAGCATCACAATAGCTGTTTAAGGTAAATAAATAATTTACATGAGGCAACGGAATCAAAGGAAAACTGAAGCTAATAGCAATAGTTTTCTGCACAGTAAATATAATAAATGGGACTCTGCAGCCATACGAAAATTTACAAGGACACTTAAGTGTCCTCAAGCAATGCTTGGCAAATAAGGATAACGTGCCAGTTAGAGTATTCGAGCCTGTGCGGATCAACCTGTATTTAAGGCGAAGATTCATTCCATGGCTTACCTTAGCGCCTCCCCTTCTCTCCTCGATCTAAAGCCTATTCTTTTGAGACCAAATAATGATTGATATACGAAGTTTATTGTCCCAGAACCACCATATCATTATTAAAGACGCCATAGTGGAGGCCTCCGGAAATTTTGATCACCTGGGGTTCTTTAACGTGCACCCAAATCTGAGTACCCGGGCTCGCAGACCAAATAGCCATTTAGTGTCTGCAGTAAGGATGTTTAGTTCATGCATTCTGTTGCTTTTTGATTGCCACATGGTGGGCGTAAATTGTGAAGCCTGCGAGCAGCTTTGCTATATCAAACGGCTTCTAGCCCCACCACAGTGGTCTAGTGACTAAGATACTTGGCTGTTGACCCACAGGTCGCGGGATTGAATCCCGACAGCAGCGGCTGAATTTTCGATAGAGGCGAAAATGCTGTAGGCCCGTGTACTCAGATTTGGGTGCATGTTAAAGAACCCCAGGTGGTCAAAATTTCTGGAGCCCTCCACTACGACATCTCTCATAACCATATGGTGGTTTTGGGAAGTTAAACCCCACGTATCAATCAATCGTCACAGGGCTTAGCTATACACCATTTAAAATGAAAATGCGTTCACAGTACCTTCTTCGTCGATTCCCAGATCAAGTGGGCCAGCAGTGGACTTGAGGACACTTCTAGAGTACCGTTTCCCTGAACAGCGATGTCTACGTTGAGGTATGCGACCGCCTGGTGATGCAGTTGCACGCGATGTTGCTGCGTAGAATTGAGACCCATGAGCACAGTTTGGTAAGGCAGAAACTTTGTAGCTAGATAACACTAAGCAGGCCTTGTCCATCCTTGATAAACAATTTTGGCACGCTGTTCTTCAAACAGTTATTGACGTGTGAGTACGACAAATGGTGAAAGGAACGTGGATTTTTATAACGTCCACTGGTGACCAAGCAAGCAGAAGTACCTGAAAATGAAGAAGTCCTTTTCTTCATAGGCTAAGCCCCAAGGTGAAACATGCCTCTTGGTAAGACATCCCTCATCAGGTCCCTGGTGATTTTTTAGTGGTATATGTCGTTTACTATTTTACAGGTATAGCCACCGTAGTCGATGTGAGCATGCTGAGCCTCTTTATTTTAGAGGCTATGATGTGGGTTATTTTGACAAAGTCATATGAACGTTTAATCAAACATTACTTAAGAAGTTCACGGCATTTTCCTCTGAAAAGCGTATGCACACAATTCCTTCATTGATAGGAACGCACTCGAGACTGATGTCACGTGACGGGCGGCCACCCCCTTGCTTTAGGAAAACATAGCAGAGTGCAAAAAAGGGCAATTTCTGTAGGGCCGAAAGGGATTGGCTGCGACACTTCAGTCACCTAACCAGGGCTTCTGCAGACTAGTTAGGTTGTATTCGTAATTCTGGAGTTAAATTAGGCAATAATATAAATTAGTCACAACGTTATCCACTATTGTGTTCCTAGACACATCTACACCAAGCCAGCAGGAATAACTAGCCGACGTGCGAGACTTGCGTGCTTTTAAAGGTTAGCCATTAAGGCATTAGCGCACAGTATCTTACCTCGACCCATTCCTGGGATCCAATCAGGCCGAACTCTTCAGCGCCCCAGCTGCAAAACACAAGCGTACGACGAGGCCTCCAACCTGGACAAGTGAAGTTCACACGAATAGGATATGGTAGCCTATACCTAGGACAGTCTTTATTTATGGAGGGGTTAATATAGAGGGGCTAAATGAACCGACTCTCTGTCGGCAGGGGGTGCCATAAAATAAAAACAAAATATGATCCTGCGGCATCGCCTAATACGTCTTGCTGTCAGCAGCCCTTCGTTCTAATGCTCGGCCAGCAACTGCCGATCAGTAACAACTTCCGCGCGAAAGTCAAGATAGATGCACATGAAAAAGCTCTGGCGCCTCTATTTCACCAGCGTCATCTCAGTGGAGATCACCTGAGTACTGTAGACGATGTAGCAAATCGGTATCGCAAACGCTGGTAAGGCAGAGCAAGTTGAAATAAGGAATATTATCGTATTTTCCTCGACGTTCATGAACTGCATGAGAAATGCGCTGAAATTGTCTGAAAAGCAAAATTTTGCAGCTGATGGGTATGGCTGTTGAAGACAAGGCCGGAATTAATCAACGCATCATAGGAACTGGCCACCTTTACGTTGGATGAGACTATTTACAACATTCGATGCCGTATAGACAAAATTTGCAATACACAATGTAGCAATAAAAACTTTTCCACCGTTTTTTTTACTTTTATGGGAAGTCGTGCAAGAAATCTTGCAATTAAGTTACGTCAGCACTGCGATGGAGCACGGATATCAACTGTGGGGATTGGTACGGAAAAATTTACTCACAGACACGACTGCTCAATAAGACCAGCCCACGTGCTGGCAAGAACAATGAAATCTATAAACGATCACACTCGGATCTATTATTAACGTAAAAAACGACGCAGACATGTCGTATTTGTTGCCTTGAAGCTATAATTTCCTGGGTTGTATTCCCTCAGCTGTGCAAACGTGCAGATATACTTACATCGCTTTGTAATGCGCGACCAAGAATACCAAGGAAACAAAATGCACAGAAAGCTGATTTCACTCCGAGTCCGTAAAGATCCATGTTCGAAGTAGAACAAGTTATTACTTCGCGCATAACATAGCACGTCTTTCGTTTTTTTTTCTTTTTTGGTGTCCATCCATTTTGGACAGCGCGTTACATGGTGCAGACGTACCAGCTATTTTACATTGATGTCTTATTTTGCAGAGGTAATAGGCTTGTTAGTGCCTGAATGATGGCGGCTGGCTTGAATGGCCGGAAAGATAGACTTATTTATTTATTTATTACAAGTACCTACATCACCCATTGGGCATTGTTGTAGGGGGTTACAGTAGAAAATAGAATACAAAACAGCAAAATTGAAAGCAAATAAATCGTGCATTACAGTATACAGGAGAAATCAACACTTGTAGTACAGCATTAGAACAAAAGTACAGAACACAGGATTATACAACGAAAGCAGTAATTATACATATAAAAAATCAACGACCAAGAGAAATACAAAGCCAACATTAAATATATGGGTTATTTTAGCAGCTCAAAATGCTGTTTCAATGGCTGTTAGGAAATTAGAATCAGAGAATATTGGTATTTTTAGCGCATTCAAGTCACTTATAGAATTTGGAAAGAAAGAGTATTCAAGGACATTCAATCGACAGGTATATTCTCTAATTTTATATAAGTGATCCTTCCGTTCGGACATATAACTAGGCGTCTTTAAATACCGCTCTTTATTTAGCGCAGTCTTACCGTGATATATATTATAGAGAAATTTAAGTCTTTGAACTTTCCGTCGTCCACAAAGGGGTTCCCATTCCAAGGCCTGAAGAATTCCAGAAGACCTTATTCTAAAATCGTAGTTTCCTGTAACAAACCTAGCAGCCCTTTTTTGCACCCTCTCCAACTTTTCTTTTAGTACATTCGTGAAAGGGTCCCAAGAAACACAAGCATACTCTAAAATTGGGCGCACATTTGTAATATACAGGGTTTCCTTGAGCGACTTACATAAGCCCTGCCAAAAACTCCCAAGCATTTCCCCGAGGGTGAACATGGTTAAGTGCGAATACACGGAGTGATGCTATGAGGGGTATTTATTAATTCGCACTATTATATTTATTAATCACACTATGGTGCCTTTATGGTGTAATGGTTCCTGGGAATTGCAATTTGATCAGACGGGGGAGCTTACGTTAACTCACTGGCGAATGCCAACGAATTTTAACTTTTCTCCCCCTCACGACCCGCTCTCGACGGGAGACTGAGAGAGAAGGCGGGCGCGCGAGAGAGAGGGGTGCGCGTGCAGCTGCAGCGAGCGAGGAGAGGGGAGGAGCGAGCGAAGGGGGAGGGGGTATAAGGCGCGTTACTGACACCGATATCAGCGTCGCGTCCGTGGCTTATTCGGTAGAGCGTCGCGCTGCGGCCCGCCAAGTCCTATTTCTTTTAAAGATAGAGAGAAGACTGCGGACGCCGCCGACGGCGGTGGATGGTTTGGGGTCGCTTATAAAGTGTATTCACACTTAAAAAGTATTGTTGAAGTACTAATAAAGGTATATTGTTAGGGCATTCCTCGAAGTTTTTTTTATTGTACCTGTTTATTGCAATACGTAGGCATAATACTGCTCAGATATAGCCTTATGCTTGAAGAAATGTGGTAACAATGATGTTTATTAAAATCATGCTCACTTTTGAAAGAAACGGATTGGTACAGAGACATCGTGGACACTTACCTTTCCCGGCCATTTTCCCGTAGGCTTCAGTGACGGCCATCAGCGCCACTGTTCCGCTGACAGGATCGAATGCACCGGGCGTCCAAGCATCTCGATGGTTTCCCACCAACACAAGTTTCTCTGGCGAAATTATCCGAAAAGATGAAGAACTTGGATGACGGGGCGCTTTCAGTTTAACATTTGAACGGGCTCTCCAGCTGATGCTTGAGTGTGAGGCAACAAAACATTATTGTTTTTCGAACAGTTCAACATCACCCTGCCGTATATTATCTGAGCGTCTGAGCGATGCCTCTTCTGGTAATATCTGATTTACTCCTCTTGATCAAAGCAGCTCCGTTCAAAGTAAGCGAACCATCTGTTTTTCCGAAGACCGTATACGCAATACTTTTCAGTTCCCGTTTTAATAGAAATTTCTTTTTATACCAGTACTTTACACCGTGTACCTTCAAGAGCAAGATATAGGTATTACCAGAACAAATAGAGTAAACCGGTCATAGAAATATTAAAAGAAAATAAATATATTGCGGCGATATCTGGGAGCATTTATGTTACGCAAGCCGAGATTTAAACGTTGAGCCTTGTTTGAACATGGTTGAGTGCGAGGGTAGGCTGACAATAGAATTATTTGAAAAAAAAAATTATTGGAGTGTCATTTACTATATAACTGTGACTACTATTTTGTTGTAGCGAACTGCACATGGCGAAGGCTTTGTCTATACTGAAATAGTACGTCTTTCATACCTTGTTTGATGCTGACATATAAACCAATCCTCAACTAGCATTCCTAAAAGATTCTGCAACACATCAGACTAAGTAGACGCACTCTACCCACCCCCCCCCCCCCCCCTGACTCTAAATTAGAGAAGGCATCGCGGGTCACGTGGAGACGACTACAATCATCAGCATTTCCAAATCTTTATGTAGTGTCAAAGATAGACAAAGAGTATATTCTGCAGTGTAAATTCTGTCCCCAGGCGGCCTATTTATTTCACATTGCCTGGGAGTGCCAAAATTATCCCAGTATATCGGACAATCATAATCCTACATTAGTCGAGTGGAAGAAGACCCTGTCCAGCTGTGAGCCAGTGCAGCAATAAGCCCTAGTCGACCGTGCTCGGATGGCGGCAAGAGGCGATGGTCTTTCGGACTAGGAAGACCAACCACTATAGCGAATGATTTATTACCAATAAATGTTTCATTCTCTCTCTTTCTCTCTCCCTGCTTACCTTCCAGTGCTTTCGTCGGGACGAGAGAAGAGAGAATGCCATTGCAGCATACGGCAAACTTTTGTAACTCCACTCGCACTGGACGGATTCTTAAAATTTTTGCGCCGATGAATTCGTGAGGCAATAAGCTCTTCCAGTCAATTCATTCCATGGTTACTTGAAAAACTGTTTCATAATCCCGTTAAGCACCATACTTCTATGCCACATATTTCTCTTACAGAAGGCGCTGGTACTTGACACTTATTCTAGAAAGCACTTTAAGGTGGCTTTACGTGTTACCACTTACTCAGGCACTCAGCGTGGAGCAATCCAAAGCACATACGTCACATGACCTGTGCGAGCATAGGCGGTCGTAGTTGGCTGGATCGCGAATTCTGCTTTGTGAAACGCCTTAATTCCCCAAATTTAAACATCCCGGCATGTACCTACGAAGTCCAGCAACAATACTCACTTTTTGAAGCCCACCAATGACTAACTATTGAGTATTGTTGCGAGTCTTTCCAGTATAGCTGCACATGGTGTTATGCTGGTAGTAGCTTGCTTCTTTTTTTCTATTAAGGATAAAAGGTCTTTAATAAGATAACTTACTATTTCGAATAAGATATGACATGGGGTATATTGACCACAGCAAGAGGCAAAGAGACTTACCAGGTTCTTCGATTCCGGTTATTTTTCCTATGACATTGTACGTCATTGCCAGGCCATTTTTTAGGTGGACCTCCAATTTCATTTCCCTGAAAAGTGCCCGTAAAACACCAATGCGAAATGTTCCTGCTTGCAGGCCGATTCCGATAGCGCCACTGCCAACCACTCCTGTCTCACATGAAGCATTTTTCGCATTACGAAACATATGTGTCTCAGAGAAACGTTATAAAACTGGCACAAACTCTTTCATCGATTGTGAACAAAGAGTCATTTGAACAAAACTGAGCACTATGAAAAAAAAATACAGCGCGGATCATAGCAGTTATTGGCACCGGGTCTGAAAAGCGCAGCTGTCGGAAATAAACATTGCTCGAGCAGCTGTTTCCGCATATGACTGCCAATCACTTTCCTCGAATTTCAACACGAAAGTTTTTATGCCAGAGTCCATCACGGCTCTCCTGACATACTTCTGTCACGGAAGTGATGCTGAAAAATATACACTAAGAAATTGCAGAGAAAAAATAACAGAAGGCAATCATTTTTTGCGCAAAATGGAACCAGGAACCTTTCGATTCCCAGCGTGCAGCGCTAACCACTGCGCCACGGAGCACGCGTTGTTGGCATTGCCAATGGCAAGCCATGTATATGCACCATACACCGTGTGGCAGTCCTCAGAGCTTCGAAACGTTAGCGTGTTTTCGTAATCAGTGGTGAGAGGGCGCGACATGCTTGAGTTGGGCGCGTTGGTCGTCACCTTCACGAAGCGCCGCCTCCACGGAGCATGGTTTTGGGTGACTTTAACGCCCCCAGCTATCATTGGGGTTACACCCGTGAAGTCCCCAAGGGACGGAAATTGGCAGAACTCATATTCACTCTTCGTCTATCGCTTCTCACAGATTCAATGAAACCCACTAGAATCGGGAATTCTGATAACCGAGATACTTGCCCGGATTTATCACTGACTAAGAACATTTTCTACGCAACATGGGAAAACTTAGAAGAAACGCTCGGCGGTGATCACTGTCTCCTCAGAATCACACTCTCCGGCAACGTAGGCCGTAAAACCAAGCTAAGCCAAGCTAAGCTGACAGATTGGACAGCCTTCCACTCACAGGTGATCCCATCTGTGCCAGGGGCGGGAGGATATACGGGATAGGCAAAACAGCTCCTTGCAGCCAATTCCAAGTGTTTGAAAACTATAAAGACAATGGAAGACACCCCCGCCGTCGATAAGTACCTGCTCCACCTTTGGGACGCCTGCAGAAGCTTAACTAAACGTTGGCGGAAAAACAAATTCAACCGCAAGCTTAAACTTAGAATAGCCAAGTTGAGTAAGCAAGCGGATGAATATGCTGCACAACTGAACGAATCCAATTGGATAGAACGGTGAAATGTTGTAGCTAAAGAAATGAATACAAGGAAAGCATGGCGCCTTTTTCGAACTCTTGTGGACCCCGCCCAAACCCGAGGAGAAGCGCAAAAGCAGCTCCGTCGAGCCCTGCACAGTTTTCAGGGAACCAACTCCCAGCTGGCTGATGATTTGTGTGCTAGATACCTATGTCGCACCACGGATCCCAACAGGAACGCATATGAATACGCAGGTAGAGAAAACAGTCAGCTCGATGCCCCTTTTGAAATGTGCGATCTGAAAGCAGCACTGAAAAAAATGCGCAGGGGCACTGCCCCGGGCCGAGACCTGATCACGGTAAAACTGTTAGCAAATCTGTCAGACGATTCTTATCGGCATCTATTGCAGTACATTAACGCGATCTGGGATGGCCAACCACTGCCAACTGAATGGAAAACAGCAGTTGTCACATTCATCCCCAAACCAGGCAAGCAAATCAGCACGGACAACCTCAGACCTATATCGTTCACTTCATGTGCCGGCAAATTGATGGAAACAATGGTTAGAGACCGTCTCGCCACGTACCTCGAGAGCAAGGGGCATTTCGCAGACTCCATGTTTGGCTTTAGGCCACACCTGTCTGCGCAAGATATCCTCTTGCAACTAAAGCGAGACATTATCCAACCCATTCCCTCGACGCACAACGACAGAGCAATCCTTGCACTCGACCTCAAAGGCGCATTCGACAACGTTAAACATGAAAGCATCCTGAAGAACTTGAGTAGTGTCCATTGCGGTAGGAAAATATTTTCCTACATCAGAGACTTCTTCTCTGAGAGACTGGCGTTCATTCGCATAGATAACGAGGAACATGGACCATTCAAAATGGGGATGCGGGGAACCCCGCAAGGAGCTGTCCTGTCTCCGCTGCTATTCAACATTGCCATGATGAAGCTCCCGCAAGCATCGGCAGTAGTGGAAGGAATATATCACGCAATATACGCCGATGATATAACAATCTCGACGAATCGGGGCAGTTTAGGAGAAATTGAAGACCGCCATTGTGGAGGACTATGTGACCCAGTGTGGGTTGCAGTGCGCACCAACCAAATCTGAATTCCTGCATATCAGAGAAAACAATAAAGATAGGACGAACTTGAACTTGATGGTATCAGGATCAACAATACGAGAGGTTTCAGAACTACGAATTCTTGGCCTTCTGATTCACAACAGAACAAAAAACAGCACCACGCTAGACAAGCTACGAATAATTGGAGAACAGGTAGGGCACATGATCCGCCGAGTGTCAAACAAGCGCGGGGGGCTACGAGGAAGGGACGCGATTCGGCTCGCCAATGCTTTTGTAACCAGCAGGATTCTATATTCAATACCGTACTTACGAATGACTAAACACGAAGAGAACAGAGTCGATGCTATTCTTAGGAAAGTAATTAGGCGCGCACTTGATTTACCCATCAGCACTTCAAATCAGAAACTCTCTGCATTGGGAGTCTTTAACTCTATACAAGAGCTCCAAGAAGCCCACCTCACAAATCAATATACGGGTCTTACGCAGAGGCCCCCCGGGCGGCGCCTACTGGACCGCCTCTTAATCTGGCACGAATGCGAAATCGAAAACGCGGAGCGTATTACTGGACTTTGGAGAACAAAACTCTGGGTGTCCCCGCTTCCCCGCAATATGACCAGGGAGGCGCACCAGGGTAGAAGGCAAGCGCGCGCTGAGGCACTTGAACAACGGCTTGGCTCCCGTAATGGGGTCTATTACGTCGATGTGGCCGGGCCGTCACCTAGGGGATACTACACGGCGGCGGTAATACATCAAGGAACGGAGGTGGACGGCCTCACTTTCAAAGCCACAAGCTCAAGTAAGGCGGAGGAGGTGGCCATTGCACTGGCAGTTTCCCATCCAAACTCAAAACAAATAGTTACAGACTCTCGAAGAGCCTGCAAGAGCTATCTTGCAGGAGAAATCTCTCCATTGGCTAATAGACTTTTAAAATTCAGCATAAGGAACCGCGATACTACCCCAAAACGTCTTATATGGACTCCGGGACATCAGGGTCTACAGGGTAACGTGGCTGCACATGCAGCGGTCTGCGTGCTTACTTCCCGGGAAACTCCCTGTTCCCCTGATAGACCTGAACGTCCCGCACCTTTAACAGGGTTTCGAGAAATCAAAGAATACTACATTGAGCAACGCCGCTTGTATCCCGCACCAGCGAAGGGACTCTCGAAAACGGAGGAGCGCATCCTGCGGCACCTACAGACAAATACGCTGCTCTGTCCAGCCATACTCAAATATTACGACCCAAAAATATGTGGGCAGTGCCAGTACTGTGGGGAAGTGGCCAACACTTACCATATGGTCTGAGCCTGCCAAATGAACCCAAAATTAACCCCCTTTCCCAACCCCACCAAAGAGGACTGGGAGACGACCCTACTCAATAGCTCCACACTAGAGGAACAGCGAACTCTAGTCCAGCGGGCTCGGGTGGCGGCCTCGACTAATGACGTCCCGGACTAGGGATGTCAACCAGCCCGGTGGGGATAAGGGCTATCTGGCACAGCCAGCATCAATAAAGGTTTTTTCCTCCTCCTCCTCCTCCCGTGCGCGCGCTTATCAGACTCGTAGTTTGGGAGAAGATGGTCACTTCGCATGCTGCTGCAGCCGCGTTAACGAAAGGAGCACGCTGCTGACACACGACCCAGGAAGAATCGTGACACTTGTTCACTCTTGCCCTGAGTGTACTTGTGCGCTCATTCCGTGCGTCTTTCTTTCTGCTTGAGCAGCACGCTTTAAGTGTCGAGATTTGAGAGTTGTTAGCCCACGCTCATCTTGCGTGTGCCTATTTCGGCCGTGCTTTCTGCTTGAGGTGTGCGCTGGAAGTTTCAAGCTAACCTGGCTTCTAAATTTGTTACTGTTGCTAAAACCATGCACAATAAGCGCTCAACTACCTCGGTAAAGACACGTTTCATTTTAGTGTTATAACGATTCCTATTTAGGGGGATCAGCTACGTTTTTTTTTGGGGGGGGGGGAGTTTTACTAAGAAAGCACGACGAACTCTCGTCAGTCAGCGATTGAATGTATGTTATATCGGACAGGAGAAATTCGGTTGCCACTGGAACTCCGGAAGAAGTTTTTCCGAGGTACTTTTGCGTATCATGAATATTTTTTGACGAGTGATCGGTCGATTGGAAATTATCAGTCTTTGTGCGGGTGAAGTTGGAGTATGCACAACAAATCGTGTGTCCACTTGAGAAGTTCAATTACTCAATGCACATAAGAACAGAGCAAGATTCGGATGCAAACAAACTCAGCCACAAAGAAGGCTCAGCGCCACGTGCATGCCTTTTTCAGGGCTCTCTTCACCTTCGTTCAAATTCTGCAAAGTTTTTCCTGCACGAAGGCAATGGAATTTCAAAAAATGTAACAATGATAATCCACAGCAGCAGCGCAACTGTTAAATGTTCGTGTCAAAACGTATGAGAGCAATTTTTTTTTCAAGTTCTCTAGTTTAGAAAAGGCGTTGACTCGTCCACGCGAGTTTAAAGCTGATAGCGCCGTTGTCCGTGGGCGTCTTGCGCGAGGTTGAAGCATACCAGTTGCACGCGTGAATATGTGCAGGGGGCGTCAAAAGTTGTCAGGGCACTATCCTATGTATTCCTACGGGAGCGTGACTTTAAAACTTTTGAACCCCCCACCTTGCAAGTATGTTGTTTAAATCGAAAACGAGTGTCTGTAATGCTTTGGCTTGGTATAACGATGCCATGCTTAATTGATGCGAGAATTTCGCCTCTATAAAAATGAAGCCGTAGCTGCCGTTACCCAATTCCTGTTATCCGAGTAAGCAGCCGAGTGCTGTTACAACTGAACCTCCGTGGCCGCGGTCACGTCATGGCATTTTCCGTTCGCACAATAATTGAGCGTTGGGCAAAGATCAGCGACCTAATTGTTGTCAATATCTGTAACCAGCAATGTTGTCAACTCACTTCGCATCCCTGAAACCGGGTCCAAGCCGGTAGGTGCCGATGTTCAAGTCTCCTGTCCACGCTTCAGGTGATGCTGGTCCATCCAGACGTCTGAAGCAGAACACAATGCAAAGGGGAAGTACTGAAATGGGCAGCGACCTGCCACCAAAAAGTTCATCCATACTGGCAAAAAACGTGTGTTGAATTTATCTTCCACATTCTTTGAAGGAGGAGATGGGATTATTATTATTATTATTATTATTATTATTATTATTATTATTATTATTATTATTATTATTATTATTATTATTATTATTATTATATAAGGAGAAGCCGATACCTGGCTGGTGCAGCAAGTCAAGTCCTCCTCTCTTACATAAAAGTTCTCATCGTAAAGTTGTTAATAACCATGAAACAGTACAAAGTTTAGTGATGAATAAAAATTCACGCGTATACAAGCGTTTATTAGGATGATCACGCTACATTTATTGGACTGTTATCTTAACTTTAACCAAATGTGACATAACAGAAATGCTCGAAAACACGCGAAACAAGTGGTTAATTTACCTAAAACTCCTACCATAATGAACTATATCATAATCATCACCATCATCATCATCAACAAATCGTCATCATCAACCTGACTACGCCCACTGCATGGCGAATTCCTCTCCAATGATCCACCAATCAACCCAGTCTTGTTATTCGTGCTGTGGCGTTATACCTGCAACGTCTTTAATCTCATCGGCCCACCGAACTTCTCATCAGCCATATCGTTGCATTTATCACGCTCCTTAGAAAAAACATGCGTTTGAAAATAATTTTGATTTCCCTACTTTGGAAAGAACTATAAAAAATTGACCCTTCAAATATGGGCCGGGTGTCTGTTGCCTCATAGTTGCCGCCAAGCGCGAGTTGCACGGACAGTACGTTGTTATGTAATCGCGCCATGCAAAGAACCGATCTTACCTGAGTATCTGGGCTGCTTCCTCGAAGGACGCCGTGAACGCTGGGATTCCAGGAAGGTTTGCCTCCCTTAGAGGTATTCTGAAAGCGTCCTCTTGACAGATTGGAGAAGGTACAGGTTGGCCGACGAACAAATGTCTAATGATGTCACGTTATCAATCGGAACGCACTGTCTGAAGGTCATTCAACAGAATCAATTAATGATTGCCCATCTCCGTACTAGCGAAAACAAGTGCCAATTGCAAGAGACCATCTTTTGGGAGCAGTTGCTTCAATAGTCAGATATAATTATGCTTCGTGGATATAATAACATGACCAATAAATGACACCGAGTGGTTGTGTAGTACCCGCTTAACGTCTTTAAATACTGAATGAAATTTAAAACAAGAGATAATATATAAAGTTTGCAGAGTTCTTACTTTTTGTTTACCATATGCACATATTTGACTGACAAGAATAGACCTTAAAAGGTGCTCTGAAGGATTGGGCAACACTTCAGTCACGCTGTCACTTATTCCGTCAAACATATGGTCGTTTACAGGGAGAATTGTGCAAAACTAGTACACGACAGCAAAAGTGACTTGCGGACCCAGCATTTGATACCGTAGCCACTGGCGACAAACATTTAGAAATGTAGCTTAAAAAAACCGTTGCGATATTTCCTGCGTAGTACGCGTAGAGGTCTTAGACGTTTAAATGCAGCACTCGGGGCTACGTGTATCTCTTTTAATAGAATCCCTTGTCAGCAATTGAGCTTATACAACTTCAAAGGGTCAAGAACATAGCTTGCATGCATTAGGTAAGAGAGAAAAAAAAACACATACTGGTAGAAATCCAATAATACGACCATTAAACTAACATTGTCAAACATTTGTATAAGACCTGCGAACGTTGAAAAAAACCAGAAAAAAACAAAAGTTCATTCACGAACTCAATGTACACATTTCATTACGATGAGAAAGCGAAGGCCTGGTCAACTTTCTATACCCGTAAAGCACAAGCTGCGAACATGACGTAAGCCCTAAAAAGCCAAAAAGAATAAAAATCGACTAGCCCGTTTTTTTTCTTGGCGCATGAATATTAATATAGTGTGGCATGACCTTTGTCGTAGTGTGTACACACTAACCTGTAGCTGGGTAAATGGGTGTCAGGGGGTCTCCATTAACGAGCGAGAGTGTTCCAGAGGCGACTGCCGACGCCGGTAGGGACATGGACTCCGGAAACGGTCGTTGTGGCTGCAGGGCGTAGTCTGCCGGATCGGGGTAGAGGATGACCGCCGAGGCACCTTGCCTCTCCGCTTCTTTCACCTGGTAGATTGAGTTAGCCTCGGGGTTAAATTCAGAAATTTACAATAATAATTTTTGGGTTTTCACGTCCAAAAATCACGGTGTGATTATGAGGGACACCATAATGAGGCACGGGAGAGGGGCATCAGAAAATTTTGACCACTGGTGTTCAAGCGACTGACGCATCACACAGTACAAGGGCTTCTGCCATCTCGTCTCAGTTGAATAACACTCCACTGAATTGGTCGTGGGAGGCGCAGCTCACAGAACTGATGATATGAAGCCAACTGGCGACCTTTGTCCAGGCACCGTGAGCCTCTGTCGCCAGTGGGGTCCTGGCAGAATGCCACCAGCCACCGTAAACATACAGATCCAGACCCGATGCGAATAATTGCTTCTCTCTCTCTCTCTACCATTCTGTGTCCATCAAAACGCGACCATCGCGACCGGGACCAAATCCGCGACCTCTGGGTCAGCAGCCAAGCCTCATAGCCACTGATCCACCGAGGCGAACCACAGATACTTATGAAATCATGAAATTACGAGAAGGGACCCATTCAGCCATCAACTTTCAACATGCGACTTAGTTCTTGAGAGTTGGCGTATGTGATTGTAAGAATGAGTCATTAATTTACGAGCTGAATATGCCGTACCAATGAGGCAAGAAGTGAGCCATTGCTAGAACTAGTAAGTTTGCTGTAAAGGGGCCAACAAATGAGGTAGTGTGAGTATTGGGCAATAAAAATTTTTTTAAAATTGCTAATAGAGTTCTATTGAATTAGCTGTATTTTGTTGTTTTACCTGGAGTATCGGAAGCAAAGTTTATGCTAACCTACAAAACATATTTTCAGGCCTAAAATGGGAAAAAATACAACTAAAGTAAATGACGTCGTCGAAACTCTCCATCCATCTAGATGCTTACGTTTGGGTGCTCTCGTGGTCTCCCGCTTAACTTGACGTGAAACAAAATGAGCACGTGCGAGTAAGATGGCTTGATGAATATGACGCGCTGGTGAAGACAAACACGTCACAATTCCGTCGCGTACGTCGTCAAACACTTCCCGCCAGACAGTGGCACATACCCGCGGGTGAGAATGTGCCGCTGGTATGCGGGTATGTGCCACAGGTGACAGTATTTACTCCGGCGCGACGAGAACACACATGGGCAATTTGAACACGCCAGTATCTCCTCCGGAACGACGGGAATACACATCGGAAATTTCAACGCGCAGAGCGTTAAGAAATACCTGACATTGGTAGCGTCAACCTGACGAATGCAAAGAATAAATGTCAAAGTCTCATCTGGATTTGAACCTAAGCACTCTGCGGGGCAGCGATGCATTTTACCATAGAGCTCCGCAAGGTCTCAGAATTACTTTTAAAAGAGACGTTAATATTCGTGAAACGTCAATAGTGGTTACAGTGCCGCCTACGCAATTTTATAAACATATCTAGTCCTTTTATACAGTCGTCACATCGGGTTAACGTCAATTGTGGTTAGTTTCCATCCACTGAAGTTTATTTATGTAGCACTGTTCAGGGCTAGCATCCTCGCGAGCATCAGCGCTTCATATCACCTTTCGTCACCCAATGAGCATGTTCCAGTTCACATCATTGCACGAATGAAAACAACTGGTTATATAAACTTCTGATACTTTTGTACATATGTCTTGCTTGTGACGTTCGCACATATAGTTAGCGTCATTTCATGTCGTGTCACTCAATAAAAAATTGCAACACGGTCACTTTCCCTCTGCACGCTTTGCATAACGTCAATTTCCAGGAACACGAGATCTGCCATTTTTTTTTCTCTTTCTCTCTCTTACAGTGCTCGTGACACGCAACAGTGCTCGTTGACGTTGGTTCTTGTACTTGCCTTGTTGCCGCGAAACACGCGACCGAACCGGATCACAACGATCTTTCCGGTGACGTTGATGCCGGCCTTGTGTAGGTAGGCAAAGTCGTCCGGTCGTCCATAATTGGCGTAAACAACTTCTGCCTGCGCGAAAGAATGAAATGGTAAAAGAATGTGATACTTCACTACGGATGTGATTAAATGGAAGAATTGCAGTTAGACCAACGACAAAGCGCACACATGTGTAGAAAAAAACTTCAGGTTACTGGGAGTGTAGAAATGAGAGGCCGTTGTCGTACTTCAGTACTTTTGACACACTGTGAATACAGAGAGGACGCAGAACAACAGTGTCCGCACTGGTGTTATTCGCGCAAAATTAAATACAACTGAATTTAAGTGATAATTTGTGCCAGCTTAGCCGCTAAAGTGTAACGCTCGACAAGACGAGTTTGATTACCAGCCGCAGTTGTATGGGCGTCGAATGCAACGGAGCATTTCTCTTTCGATTTGCGTGCATGTTTTCTGTTTTCTCTGAAGCAATAGGGACAGCTCACCGCTTCCCCATAGTTGAGTCCAAAGTACTCAAAATCGTTAAACACTTTTTCTAAGCCCAAAATGAACCCTGGTGGTCCTACATCGAAACAGTATTTACAATTACTTCGTTTCTAAACATCATATCGTAGCCTTGGTGCATTAAACTGAATTTTTTTTTAGAAGTTTGAAGTTTATTGCAGTATTGAATGACATACAAAGGCTTTTACTTTTTCAGGAACCAAACAAACTTGTTGAAGAGTTCTCATGCTAGAGACTACCCAAAAAATAAAAAAGGAAGAAACAAAATCAAACAAACAAACAAAGAAACAAGACAGTTATAGCTACTTCTAATGTGTGTAGAAAAAACGACAATGCTCACAGATGTGCTTGGACAAGTCATCATTTTTCCCAGTTTTACTGTATAAACGTATTCTTCTTGAAAACAGTTATCCAAGCAGTTTAATGTATAAGCGGTTCATGCATCTCCTGCGCATTACCTAGAAGGTGACAAAACTGCCAACGACCGGGCCTCTACCACACGGAGGCTTTCCAACAACAGGAACTTCAAGAAACGTTTTGGGTAGGATACAAGGGTATAACTCATAATGCTATGGTTAATAAATGACGTTTTCACTACAACGAGTGACGCTAATTACAATCTGGCCATGCTTACTACAACAGGCGTATTTCCAGTGCCGGCAGAGTACGCCAGGTAGGGCTCTACGGAGCCAGTCTTCTGTCTTGTGACCGAGTACACGACTTTTCCTTGGCTGTCAATGATGGATATCTGAAAGAACGTAAATGACTGAAAAATCAATTACGCCACACAGAACTCGAGAAAAAAAAATCTCACAAAAGGGCAAGCCGACATCGGCTCTTAGCATATCGCAAGTTTTTGCGTTTGGGTGGAGATAGGAGTAATTTGCCGAAAACCGCAAGATAACGTAGTATTTGGTACAAAACCTATTGAAGTTACATGGCATTAATTGAAGAGAACTTTTTTTTTCAGAAACTGTTCAACACATCACACGACACGATCAACACGATCAAACGATCAACACGATCAAACTGTTCAACACGATCAAACTAAGTCTGATCGACATCAGACTTAGTCATTAGAAATACTCAGAAGAAGCATTAAAAATTGTATATGAATGTGAAGCTGCTCAGTATTAATGAGAAAACTAGCCATTATGCTGAAAATGTTATGTAGGCATTGTATACTTACTCACACGTCGGCAAGGTTCATTAACATTGATACATTCATTGTCTACACATGACGGCAGCCGCTTGAAGCGACAATCAATAGTAGAATTATATGAGCTTAACATACCCTTTTGTCTACATTACAAAATTCCAACAGCAGATCTCACGTACAGTGGGAATCGATGACATACGAAGCACGATTGAGGAAGGTTGATATGTCACTTTAAAATCAGCACAACGTTACGAGGTGGAGGTAAATTATGCCGTACATTATTTACATGTTAGATTCTTATACTTCGACGCGTCATTTACCTCCGCCGTCTATTCACGTCACGTGATACCGAATTTGGCATATGTGGAGCAAGCAGAACAGCCGCCAGCACATCGTGTGTGTGGTATGTTGTCATGTTCTGACATGACATGCGTGTCATGATTATCATGTTCGCACCAGTCATACTTTGGTCATCCATTGACGTCACCTAACACGAAATTTGGTATACATGGACTGGGCGGAACGGCGGCGACCTCATCATGAAGGGCCCAATAAGCTCCAACGTAACGTTAACGCGCGCACACGCTGGGCGTAGCGACGCTACGCTAGCAAAACGTGAGCTCTTTACGGTATGACGCCTGATCTACGTTCTGCGACCAGCGTTCATCGGCGCGGCCCGGTGGCAGCCGGCGCAAAATGCGACATGCCGCATTTCAAAACAAAACGTTACTCAGACAGCGCGCGCCTGCGAGCATATGACAGCCAGATCGGCGCCTGGGGCGGCATCGCCGGCGTGACGCAACGAAACGAACGCCGGCGCGCACGCACGCTTGGTCACGTCGAAGTGTATTGGCGCCATGAGTGTGGCACGTAGTTATGTTCCTACATGACACGCAACTCATGATTATCATATTTGCATCAGTCACATACCTTCGTCATCCATTCACGTGATGTAATTTCAAACTAGCATATGTGAAGCTAGCGAAACGGCCACGAGCACATGATGAGTGTGGCATGTAGTCATGTTACGCATGACACGCATGTCATAATTATCATGTTTGGACGTGTCATTTGCCTATGTCTTCCGTTCGCGCCACGTAATACCGAATTTGATACATCTGAAGATAGCGAAACGGCCGCGAGCGCACATGGGCGTGGCATGTAGCCAAGTTTTTACATGACACGCACCTGATGATTACCATGTTCGCACCAGTCGCATATCTTCGTCATTCATTCACGTCCTGTCCCATAACACCGAATTTGGTATATGCGAAGGTTGCGCAACGGCCGCGAGTGCATCATGAGTGTGGCATGTGTTACATGACACGCATGTCATTATTTTTATGTTAGCGTCTGTCGCTTGTTTTCACCAAGCAGTTATGTCATACCATGTTACAGCTTTGCAACATGTCATGTGAAGTAAACCACTGCAAGAGCAGCAAGACCTTAAAAGGTAAAGCATGATAATCATGACATACATGTCATGATTTTCTAGTTATGAATGGTCACTTTTGCTCGTCATACAGCCATGTAATGCCATACCAAATTGGGTATTCATGTCATTATCGAAACGGCCAGGAGAGCTAAAAGTCATAGGCGGCTAGATAGATAGATACACACACACACACACACACACACACACACACACACACACACACACACATATATATATATATATATAGAGAGAGAGAGAGAGAGAGAAAGATAGATAGATAGATAGATGGATGGATAGATAGATAGATAGATAGATACGCTCAAAGTCGCCGAAGCTCGCTAAGAAATGCTTTGCAATTAAAATCAAACACTGCTGCTTTTGCAGAGTCCCAAGAATTCGTACACCCGGTGCACGAAGTTGATGAATAGACTCAGCCTCGCGCATCATCAGTAAAGTGTACAAATTTTTCTTTCTTCTCGTTTCCTAACAGCGAACTGTTATTTTCATGTTTCAGACATGCATACGTGACATGGGAAAAATAAACCTTCAGCTGAAAGTTTGTGCCTGTCCCTGCGGGCTTGTCATCGTTGTTCTCTTTTGCGAAGTATACGATTTATGTGCGTGATCGAAAACCGAGGTGCTCGAATTTCGGAGCCCTTCACTAAAACATGTCTCATAGTGCTATCATGGTTTTGGCATAAAAACACTTAAAAATGAATGAAGTGCGCTTAAAAATAAATGGGCAAGTTTGATAAGGGACCTTTCATTGCTAAATCTCAGAACCGGCCCTTGTGATTTTCCTGTGCCGCCTTGGCAGCTGGCGTAACCGGTTACCGGGGCGCCCCGAGCCATGACTTAACGAGCAAGAAAGACACTCGTCGCGTGTGCGTGAGGCATTGGCTACGCCTGCACTTATTGAACGTTCCTCAAAGGTTTGTTGACCTTTTCGAACGCCCACGTAGACGGTAGGATACCGATACCTGACTCTGGCGGTCGGGATCCGGGTGTGAGAAGTACGCCTTGAAAGGAGTCAAGTGGACGTCCTCGAGGCCTTGCGTTTCCCACATCTTCGCCACGTACTCCGCCGAGGTTCTCTCGCCCGCTGTGCCACCCAGCTTTGGCATTTCGACGAACGTCCTGCGAGTAAAGATCGTCGTTTTCACTAATACCTTGTGTGCGAAAGTCAGGCATGACACGAGAATGATGTCGGACACTAAAACGGCACTCCCCCCCCCCCCCCAAAAAAAAGAACGAAAAACAAGAAGACAACTTTAGCCTATTGGTGCCAAGACTGATCGCCGTGTGGAACCAGGCTGCCTTCGTTGTTTCTCTTTGGTTTCCTCTCTTTCCTAATCTCTACTCTTTCATCCTTTTTTTCCGTTTCAAGTGCTTTGCACCGTTTTCTTCTGTCATTTCATTTTTTTCTTTATCTCCCTATTTTTCCTTTCCTCCCACTTTCTATTTTTCGCTTGCATCGCGCTTTTTCTATTTGATACGTTTTGCCAGCGTTACACCAAGGGACCGCTGCATACGACAGACGGGGCAGTTCAGTGCCCTTAAAGTGCTCTCTTCATAAAGAGTACCTTAGAACCTCGAGGACACCAAAAATGTGTTTTTTAACTTCTTCATCTTAGGGGCTACTCGCTGCCTCTCACAGCTGCCTCTTATGCAGAATATTTTCCGAAACGAATACGCGAAATGTTGAAATCATGAAGTTGACTGACAAATAAATAAAATAACTGTAAATACCAGGAGAAATAACTGAGCAAGCTTGAATGTATGTAGCTTGACAAATTATTACCCCAATAGATATTTGAAAAACAGCCCGCATCAGATGCCCACAGCATTTGTACCAAGTGAATCCACAGGTGCTTTATTTCTGAGGAAAGGGCACGGTAACGCGTAAGAAGCGTGAGATATCACAGTGATTCTCCATGTCTGTCTTGCGTAAACGTTGTTATCTATTATGTAACATAAATATTCAGTTATACTGTATCTTGAAGTAGGAATAGGTGAGGTGCATTCTATAATAATACCAATACTAGAATGCAATGACCTACGATAAGAAAAATCACACAAAGAGACACACATATTGCCGTGGCAGCCATTTTTTTGGAAATTAGAAAATTAAAATCATGCTCATAATCAAACTGAAAAAAGAACATGGGTTCCCAGCTCACGTTAATACATTATTCCATTGAATCCTCATGGGAATCCATTGAGAGACAGTTGCGATTATATTTCAATGCTCTTACACAACTGAGGGGTATTGAACCCAGGTACAGACTATGAAATGAACAATATTTAAGAAAATTGGACTCGTTCTATGTAATAGTCAAACAGTTCAAATATATGATAATGTTAAAGGGGGACACTTCCAAAGGGTGTCCTTTCCCCTCTGAGCACAAAGAGAGTCAGAACACTTTGCCCTCCTCCCCCCCCCCCTCACAGGAATAACGCCGGTGCTGGAGAACACATGTCTCCTTTATCTAGTTTATGATACAATATAATTGGTTGATTTGTGGGGTTTAACGTCCCAAAACCACGATCTGATTATGAGAGACGCCGTAGAGGAAGGCTCCGGAAGTTTCGACCACCTGTGGTTCTTTAACGTACACCCAAATCTGAGCACACGGGCCTACAACATTTCCACCTCCATCGGAAATGCAGCCGCCGCAGCCGGGGTTCAAACCGGCGACCTGCGCGCATGATACAATATAACCTAATATATTTGTTACCTATTTAATAAAGAGTACTCGAATGACAACGCAGACTTTTTTTTTTCCAAGAATTCTAAAAAGTATGACTCATCGCAAACTGTAAGTCGGGTCATAACAGTTTCCTGTATGGCGCCACGTTGTTTCTATCTTTAGTTTTTTTCGTCACAAATTTAGCGGCCCCAAATCTCTCTGTCATTTAATGTTATTGTTGTTGTTCTACTACGTACTGGTAGTTTAGGTGATTGCTAGCGATTAACATCCTGAAACTTCACTATGATTATGAGATACAGCGCAGTGAAAGGCTCCGGAAATTAAGACCACTTTCGGTTCTTTAACGTGCACCTAAATGTAAGTACACGGGCTTCGAGCATTTTCGGCTCCATGGAAAATGCAGCCACTGCCCGGGTGATTTAATAGAGAAGGCGGAGGGTAGATATGCGAATTAAACTAGGTATACTCACCGCAGCGTCGTCTCATAGTCGTACTTGTTGAGAAACGTGGTGACGTCATCAAGCGCACTCCTAATCTGACCTACAGCGTCTGCCTCCGGCAGCCCGAGTTGGTCAGACTTGGAACTGCCGCCGCCCCGCATGGCGAAGTGCCCCAGCAAGACACCGAAGATGACGCCTAGTACGGCAACGGCAAGTCCGGAAGCGCAACAGTACTTCCGGCTGACCATGGAGCCAAACCGGAAGTCCTCAGTGTAGCCGGAGCTCATCTGAAGGGACCTCATTCCTGTACCGTCACCAGCGTTCCTGGGCAGAGATGACTCATTACGGTAATGTTGAAAAAACGGCTGCAACAAATTCAGGTAGAACATGCTCAGGTTCTTTTCTCTATTTCACTTTCTCTCTCTGTGGCCAAGCCAAAGAGAACGAAAAGGAACATTTAACATCGTTCTGTCTAGCTTGTTCTCACATATGTACTCCCATGACACAGGTGTCACGTATATTGCTACCGTCAACTGCAGGTGAGGGCCGTACACTGAAGTTTGTCTACCTATAACTAGCCAGGCCTATCATCCTCGCAGACACAAGTTCTAGATATAAGCACAGCTTCTTGTATTGGTAATGCCCATGTTGCTGTTGACACCGTTACCCAACTGTAAACAACTCTTCATATAAAGCATATGCGGCTGTTCAAAATATGCCTGTCTGTACAACGTTTGTACACAACTTTGCGTAATTTCGTAACGTTTAGCTCAATAAACAAATTACACTAGAGTCGCATTCTTTTGCGCATGCTTCGCGTAACATTGATTCCCATGGTACGTAGCATCTGCCGAATATTTAGGGGCAAAACTCCTTATAACGGCACCCGTTCGTCCCCCGTAGTATGTAACAAGTATAACATTTTGACCTCCAAGGTGGTGCCTGCGAGAGACTTCTTCTGTGCGTGGTTGAACAATAAAAAATAGTGCTCAATGTACATGTCAATGGCTGCTAATGGGGAATGAGAGACAGGAGCATTCGGCTTTTAGTTAACGCGCAGGCTGCGATCACCATCAGCAGCCATTGGCATGTACATTGAGCACTATCTGACAAGAAAGGGTTGCTACGTTATACTCGCTGGGTGTAACCTCCTTAGCTTTAGAAAAGTTTAGCGAGCGTTGAGCCGCAGTGCCATGAATACAATGAATTTGTATATACCATGAATGAACTCGAGGTTGTTAAAATGGGAAGTAGATACGAAGCGCAAGCCGTAAGAAAGTAAAAGCCGAATTCTCCGCCTCTCATTTCCCATTAGCAGCCATTGGCATGTACATTGAGCACCATCTGACTGAAAAAGTTTGCTACGTCATACTCGCTGGGCATAACCTCCTTGGTTTTCGAAAGGTGTAGCGAGCGTTCGGCCGCAGTGCCATGAATACTGTGAACTAGTATATACCATGAACTCGAGGTGGTTAAAAGTGGGAAGTGGACCCGAAGCGCAAGCCGTAAGAAAGTGTGCGTGTGCCGCCTCTCGTTTAGTCCTTGGAATGTCCGCTGGATGGCGGTGCTTCTATATGGGGAATATATGATGAAAAGATGCGAGATGATGGTACTTGGAGTGTTGACTAGATGGACGAATGGACACATAGACAGATGCATGGATGGACACATAAATGGACGCAGGGGCGCCTGCATGGACGAACGCAGGGACGGACGCACGAACAGACGCACGCACGGACGGGCTGATGGACGCATCGACGGTCACACTGACGGTCGCATGGACGGACGGAAGCAAGAACGAATGGACGGACGAATTCTCCACCCCACTCTCCACCATTCACTCCGTGAATATGCTGCCATTTTTTGTGCGTGTGTGTGTGTGTGTGTCATGACCAGCAAATCCTATTCTGCGAATCATCGTACCCTCCCATAGTAATTTCGGTCAACCCCAATTCAAGGGGTTACTGACGAGAGCTCTCAGACGTAAGCTTGTCTATAACGTTGACACCGCGTTGACGTCAGCATCGCGAGGTGCTCCGCGTTTTACTCAGTCAAGCGGCATGCACTTTAGTATTGCGTTTAAATGTGTTCTAGGCCATATTCACCTTTGAAATTTCGTTGATGATGTGTGTGTCTCTTCACACAAGCCTATCTCACTGATTATCTCGCCCTCCCATTTTCATGGCCGCGTTCCTGTAAGGTGGATCTAAATCTAAGCAAAACGTAGTCCTCGTATTTCACTTGCACCTCAAACGTGGTCAGTGTGACTGGTGATCGAATCCACGTCCTTCTGAGTCCTTGTTTTTTTTTTTTTTGATTTCTACTTCGAAAAGAAGGCTATTAAGAAGCGTACGCATTATAATCCTGCTATACTGTAAGGAACAGGAATAGCAACAGAACGCAGGAAGACTAGCTCGAACTTTCGTATCACATACTTGCATCGGTTGAACTTGAAGTCCATGTGAAATAGCACACCCTAACTACTTTAGCAAGATTAAGAAAGAGATAGAAAGAAAGAATATCGGAAAGTAAGTGAGGTTAACTAGACTAAGTCCACTTTGCTACCCTACACGGGGGGAGAGATGAATGAGGGAGTAAAGGAGAGAGAGAGGAGGAGGAGATACACGTTGCACATAACACACACACCGCACACACGGTGCTGGTTTCACAGGCGGTCACAGTGATATTGCCATCTAGCATTGTAGAAGGGCTCGTGTGGCTTTCTCGGCTGATGTACTCTAAGGCCACTCACCCAAGATCACCCGCGCAACCAATGAGCAAGATCCAACTGTCTGACTCCCCACTGTACGTTCAATGTAACACCTGATAAAAAACTATCAGAAGCTATCTTGCTATCAGGAGCTACGGTGCACTTAGGGCTAAAAGAGAGGGTTGCCTGAGAACTAGAGGAAGCGTTTTTTATTAACAGATCTGACGAAACATGCGTAGCGGGGCCCTTTATCACGTTGCGTGCCACTGAGATAAATTATTTGAGCGCATTCCACTAATAAAAACTCTTGTTTGCTTGTGTGACTGGTGACTATGTTGACGTGTATATATGTGCGTGCTTTTAGAATGAAATCAGTTGATAGTTTGCGCAGTGTTCGTATAGTCCTTCTCTCGTCTTCGTATTTTGCACCAAGTCTTGCATAAGTATATAGTAATAAGGGTAAACCTTACTATGACTGCTTGCCATTTACGCTGCTTACTATTCCATGAGATAAAAACTACAAAACAAGTATTTCTCATATACAAAGGCTGCACTGTCTCACAAGTCTGCGTTGGAGCTGGCCTGGACGAGTGTTGCATCATTTTTGGCCGCATTCACCTAAATCCCGGTTGTTATGCATCGAACTATGATTTGTTGTATACGCCAGCAATCTCTCTGAATAGCAGTTGCTCGGCCAAGAAATATTTGGCTCTCACACTCACATTGTGCTTGTCAGTTTAGAAGGTAATTCCTGGGTAGTCTTCTGTACCGCCAACGTACTATGGCTCTTACGACGGTCCCTATAGTGTCCGGTCGACTATCCTGAGAAGCTTTCTTTACTCAATTTTCGTCAAGCACTTCCTGTAAGGTTATCACCCTACCGAGTGTTTGCTAATCGTATCTTTCGCAAGCATTGTTTGTGTAGACAGCCGCAACCGCATTTCGGGTAGGTGCAGATAACGGAACGCTCCCGTCACCTCCTTCAAGTCAACCTTCGTTACAGCGACTCAACCAGACACAACCGCTGGATACGATACAACACATCCTATAATACACTACTTCACTTCATACAGAGCACCGTCCTAACGGCGCACATTAATTACACATAAACGCAAAAAAATATTAAGCCGAAGGCAAGTTCATGTTGCAATAAAAAAAAGACAAAAGTAGGAACCGAAATAACACGAAGGACGTCATCTCTTTCTAACACCGGTGTCGCACGGTCATTTTCGATCACGATAGGACACAATCTGGATCGAATTTCCTGATCATGATTGGCTCCATTCACCCAAGCTTTAGAATGGGGCATGTAGTTGTTTTGATCCCAGTCGGGCCCCGCCGCGGTGGTCTGGTGCCTAAGGTACTCAGCTGCCGACCCGCAGGTCGTGGGTTCGAATCCCGGCTGCGGCGGCTGCATTTTCGATGGAGGTGTAAATGTTATAGGCCCATGTGCTCAGATTTGGGTGCACGTTAAAGAACCCCAGGTGGTCGAAATTTCCGAAGCCCTCCACTACGGCGTCTCTCATAATCATATGGTGGTTTTGGGACGTTAAACATCACATATCAATCAATGGATCCCAGTCGGGCTTATTCGCGATTAGTAAAGCACCGTGTGACACCACCATAAGAGCAAGTGTAACGGTCGATTTTTGGAGAGTATACTGGGAGCGTGACAGGTGTAAATTTAAGACACAGGAAGAGAGCAGAGTAGGTCAACAAACAAATGGGGGTTAATGTTGTCATGATTTAAATAAAGAAAAATAGGCCGGCGACGTAGCGCGTAGGCGGGATAACCGCTGGTGATTAAGGGTAACTGATTGGATTCCAAGAGAAGAGGAACGCGCCAGGGAGAGACAGAAAATTGGGTAGGTGGATGATATATAGAAGTTTTCGGGTATATGCGGCCACATAAAGCGCGGGACAGGGTTGATTGATGGAATATGGGAGAGGCTTTTGCCCTGCAGTGGGCGCAGTCGGGATGATGATGATGATTATAATGTTGGCCACGATGATGATGAGCCTGAACGCAGTAACATCCTTGCCATGTGACCTAATCGATTGCGCTATAGCAGAAATCATGTACCCTTCGGGACGTGTGGGCATGTACATTACGACGCATCCAAACATCTGCTCAAAGCAGACTAAATGCAACAAAAGCTTGCTTGAATCCCCCGCTACGCCATCCATGGGTGTCATTTCGACAACTTAACAACGCCAAACTTGGCTATTACCTTCGAGAGCAACACATGTACGATTTTCGATTCATCAACAACTACCTATTTGCGAAGGAACACTTCCGAACATTTCTTAAAGACTTATCAAACATAAGTCTTGAACACACGGATTCACGAACCCAAAGCATAGACAGGTGGCTCATTCCTTGTTCTCGCACGAAGTATTTTCTACAGACCCTTAGATATACATTACCATCCCTACTTAATAAATATATAAATGATGAGCCCAACTTTTTAATGTTCATAAAAAGAGAAATGCGAGAATATTTCTTCACCCTGGCCTAGTATCTTTCTTTTTATCATGCTATGATATCATTACTCGATGTATCGTATTTTTTGTTCACTCTCTGTCATGTTTATTTTGATACTGTTCAGTGTAT